TATCTTTACCACATGATTTTTCTACATGGCGCTGCGAACAGGATATATGACACCCGAAGATTGGGAACTCTTCTTCATTGAAGCAGGCCTATCCACTGACTCGGCCAAAACTCATGCAACAAGGTTTGCAGATGAGAAACTGACAATCGAGTGCCTTCATATGCTGGATAGATCCATGCTTAGGGAACTCGGAGTCGCATTAATGGGAGAAGCCCTGTGTATCATCAAGCAGGCTAAGGAAGCCACCACCCAGACAACCCGCATTCAGGCACTAGCAGCCAAGCCTCCCCATCTCAATCTCGAGATGACACCACAACAATTCAGGAAGTTCCGAATTGACTGGGATGTCTTTACCAAGATGACAAATATGCCAAGCTCCCAAGCTAATATTCACCTATACAATTGTGCTGATGAGACTGTGCAAAACGCCATAATCAACACGCACCCTAACTTCTTTACCACTGATACAGATAAGCTACTTGACATGGTAGAAACGTTGGTCACCCAGAGGTCAAGTCCTATTGTCCATCGCCTTGATTTTTCCTCCATGTCTCAGGATGCGGATGAGCCAATACAAAGTTACCTTGTCCGCCTCAGAGCCGTAGCTGTTGATTGTAACTTTACCTACCCCTCGTGTGAGCATGACCTGTCTGATATATACATCAAGTCCCAGATCATCCGTGGAATAGCAAAATGACACACTCCAGGCTGACCTACTGGCCAAAGCTGGGGCACTTAAATCCCTTGAGCAAAATATCCGTCATGCTGAGGCATTTGAATCAGCATTGCGAGACCAAACCTCAATGGCTGGCGCTTCAGATACAGCCGCTGCTCGGCTATCAACATACCGCAGACAGAAGGGTACGCCACAAGCCAACGAGGGGATCCGTACCAGCACCTATTGCAACTGCAATGTTAAACCAAACCACCAGGCTTGCTTAGGTTGTGGTAGCCACCAGCACGGCACCTCAGGAACCGGATCCCGCCGGCTAAAATGCCCAGCATGGGGACAAACATGTAGTAATTGTGGGAAGCCCAATCACCTATCGAGGGTATGCCGGGCTAAGAAACTGGCTCAAGCAGTAAGGAAAAGCCCAGAGGCTAATGAAGCCGCCATGGACACACTTATCGCCCACATTACATTCAATCAAACGACAGGCACGTATACATCTAAAGACACAGGCCAGATAAGGGAAATTGTTGCATATGTTGTTCCATTCTCGCCAAAACCGGATCCCAGACAAGTTAAGAATATCCCCAGAAATCACAGCACTAGGATGACGATATTTCCTGACAGTGGGGCTACCATATGTCTCGGAGGACTTAAGCACCTTCTGAATATGGGGATCACTACCAACAACCTCATCCCATCAAGAAAAGTCGTCCGAGCTGTGGGAGGCTTTACACTCGTATGTCAGGGTTGGCTCCCGTGGAATTCATCGTTCAAGGAAGAACAACTAAACAAGCCCTATACATATGCAAAAGATCCAGCGGCTATACTTCAGCAAAAGCAGCCTGCATTGATGTAGGGATACTGTCAAAAGACTTCCCAAACCCGACGACTACAATATTACCCCAAACAGCAATGCAACACATGCCCTCGACAAGTACACATAAAAATCAGACGCGAGCCTAAACAATGCAAAGTCGAGGGACAACTTCCAACGCGCCCCAAAAAAACCCTTTTCCCCAACAGAACAAAACATTGATAGGCTCAAGAATTGGCTATTAAATCAATTCGCCGAAACGGCGTTCAAAATAATGGTGAATTCCACCAATGTCTGGCCCCACTGCTCATATACACCTCAAAGAAGGAGCAGTCCCCAAAGCCAGACATAACCCATTCCTGTGCCTTTTCACTTCAAAGAGCCCGTAAGGCAGGCCCTTTGGGAAGATGTGAAAAGGGTATCATAACCCCAGTACCCGTCGGCATGCCCACTGATTGGTGTAGCACTATGGTAATTACCGCCAAGAAAAATGGCAAACCACGAAGAACCATAGACTACCAACACTTGAATTCACAGTGCAAACGGGAAACACATCATACAGGGTCACCATTCCAGCTAGCACTACAAGTGCCACCTAAACAAAAGAAAATAGTGTTGGATGCTGTTGATGGATATCACTCCATCCCCTTAGATAAAGAGTCCCAGCCACTCACCACCTTCATCACAGAATGGGGAAGGTTCATGTACCTGAGAATGCCACAAGGTTACCTAGCATCTGGCGATGCCTACACCCGAAGGTATGATGAAGTAATAAAAGACATCCCCGCAAAGTAAAAATCGTGGATGACACCTACTCTATGACTCTGACATTGAAGGAGCCTTTTTCACACGTTCGATTTCCTCCTCCATTGTGCAAAAAAACGGCATCGTACTAAATAGAGAAAAATTCCAATTTTGCCAAGACACGGTGCAGTTTGGGGCCTCCAAATAACATCCTCTGGTGTAACCCTTCTAAATCCATGCTGGAGGCAATATTAAGCTTCCCAATACCAAAAACGCTCACCGATGCCAGATCATGGTTTGGGCTGGTCAACCAAGTCGCTTGGGCATACTCACTGAGCCCAGTCATGCTTCCATTTCGTGATCTCGTAAAACGAGACTCACACTTTATATGGAATAAAAGCCTTGAGGATGCATTCCAGCATTCAAAGAAGGTCATAGTTGACTTAGTTCGAAAAGGCATCGCAACATTTCAAAAAAAGAACGAATAACCTGCCTTGCCCCAGATTGGAGCAAAGACGGAATGGGCTTCCTACTTCTGCAGAAGTATTGCTCATGCACCACTGACAAAGCCCCAGTTTGCTGCCCTGAAGGTTGGTGCCTGATATTTGCTGGTAGCAGATTCTGCATTGATGCTGAACGCAGATATGCACCTATTGAAGGCGAAGCAGCAGCAATTGCATGGGCATTGGAAAAATGTCGCATTTTTTGTAATGGGTTGCCCTGAATCTCATAGTGGTTACAGATCATGAACCACTAAAAGGATTATTCGGAGATAGAGACCTTAGTAAAATCCAAAACCCCGATTATTCAGGTTAAAGGAGAAAACCCTCAGGTACAGATTCACCATTCAGCACTGCCCTGGAAAATGGCACAGAGCCTCCGATGCTGTCTCTCGTAACCCAGCAAACATCTCACAGGCACTCCTAAATGTATTCACTGCTGAACTCTCAATCAGACATCATAGAGTCTGACAATATGGATGACTGGGTCAAATCAACAACCCTATTAGCAACATTTGGTGCAAATGACAACCTGGAGCTCATCTCACCAGACGTTATCCGTGCGGCGGGACGCAGCGACCGCAATACAAAAAATTAATTGAGGTAATACAAAATGGATTCCAAAGGACGCGCAGCCTCACTGCACCCGAAATCCGCGATTACTGGGAAGTGAGGCACCGCCTAAGTGTTGTTGACGATGGATTAGTGCTATTAGATCAAAGAATCGTTATCCCCACCTCTCAACGCGCAAAAGTCTTACATAGCCTACATTCTGCACACCAAGGTGAAGTTGGCATGAAGGCACGTGCCAATGAATCTGTTTATTGGCCGGGATGAATGCTTCAATACGTAACATTAGAGCAGGTTGTACGTTCTGCTCAAAAAATTGCCCCGAGTCAACCAAAAGAGCCAATCAATTTGACACCATCTCCTGATTGGCCATTTCAGCAAATCGTCATGGACATCTTCCATGTTGGGAACCATGGTTACTTAGCATGCGCTGACAGGTTAACAGGCTGGCTAAATCTATACCACTTGAGCCACGGAGAAGCTAATGCGTCAGGATTATTTCAATTTGCCGAGACATATTTCAAGCCTACGGTGCTCCTGAGGAACTCAGCACTGATGGTGGGCCACCCTTCACATCCTTTCCATTCAAGCAATTTTTACAAGACTGGGCTGTCAAACACAGGTTATCATCTGCAGGTTACCCACAATCAATGGTCGGGCAGAGCTTGCTGTCAAAACGGCAAAGAGAATCGTAAATGGCAACACAGGAGCCCAAGGATCGTTGGACAATAATCGTGCAGCAAGAGCCATCCTCCAATACAGGAATACGCCCATTCAAAACATTGGGCTATCCCCTGCTCAACTACTACTCCACCGCCGACTACGTGACTATATACCATCCCACCCCACACTCTATAAGCCACATGCGAATTGGATAACCGCAGCCCAAAATCGCGAGATAAGTCTGTTCCGGCGGAACGCTCGTCTCATAGAGAGATACAACAGAACAGCACACACCTTAAACCTCCTTCAAAAAGGACAAATAGTGGCACTACAACAACCAACAACCCGCCGATGGGACACAACAGGTCAGGTCATTGAAACCCTCCCCAACCACCAATACCGTATCAGAGTTGATGGATCAGGTAGAATTACCTTACGAAATCGCCGATTCCTCAGGAAACTGGATACACCTACAATTCCAGTTCCAAGACCCTAGTGCCTTACCTGAGACCCCTACACCAGTGCCACAAACATTCGACGCTGGAATAACGTCGAACACTGCTCAGTCGTCTACAATAAACGGACAAAAACCCCCGGGCATTGTCCAGACTACTTCCACACAACCAGCCAGGTTTAAAGGAACTCATCCCTCCCCAAAGGCCACTACCCACACGCGATGGGGGGGAAGGAGATGTAGAATAACAATAATAAACAGCACTTACCGGTGTAAGGTCCCAGCTAGCGTCCAGCTGGCAGACAAAAAATAAAGCAGGTTGTAACTTAATACAAACCCTGCAAACTAACAGCTGAATCAAGCTGGTATTTATATAGAAATACCTCCACTCAGGTACCAGCAGCCAATCACAGCCCAAGCAATGGACTATCCCACTTTAGCACAATGAGATGCTCTATGGCAACATAAATAGCTCTCTTTCTAAAGGTTGGATTATTGTTCACTTAGCTTGCTCCACAACTAAGTGTTTATCTTTACCACGTGATTTTTCTACACCTCCAACTGAACATACTTTGTTTTTTCTCAGACGAGAAACTTTTCTGCCAGGATAAGAAGGTGAACACACCGAACAACTGTTGGTTTGATGTGCTCCCAAAAGAGGTACTGAGAACGATGAAAACCAAATATCCAGTCAAACATTATGATGCTTGGAGTGATCATTAGTGAATGGCAGATTATGCCTTCCTTCTTCTTTACACGGAGGCCTACATCAAGTACCTTGAGAAGATAGTGCTGCCCTTGGTCAAGAGTGTGACTGCTGGAGGAATCGATGTCTAGCAACAGGACTCTGCACCATGCCACACAAACAGGAGAATACAATCATGGCTGTCAGACAATTTCTGCGACCACATAACACTTTACATCTGGCCACATAACTCCCCAGACTGTAACCCACTTGATTATGTGTAGGATGCAAAAGGAATCTCCAAAGAAGGCAAGAATTATGGCAGCATTCAACAACTTAAACAGAGAGACCGTACAGAAGAGTTGCAGGAGATTCTGAAGTCGTCTGGAGGCCCTGGTTGAAGCCAATGGCAATTTTGTTGAATAAATTTACTCTTTCGTATTTCAAGATATTTTTGTGTAATTTTGGTAAATATATCTGTTAAAATGAGATGTCAGTTATTTTAATTTTTGCGTAATTTAGACAATTTATCCATCGCAACTTGTATATATATATATATATATATATATATATATATATATAGAGAGAGAGAGAGAGAGAGAGAGACAGAGACAGAGAGAAAATATTACCTCTTCTAGATAAATGACAAGATTTCTTCCTTCAAATTCTGTCTTTCGAATTAAATCAATTTCATCAAGGTTATCGGTGTCCGGCGCAAAACCACTTGGTATACCGATCTCAATCAGTACCATTCCAGATTTTTGTTGTCCCTTCCAGCTGAAAAAAAAGAAAAGAAAAAATAATTCTATATTTTAATTTCAAATATTTCCGGAAAGTATCCAGTCATTTTGATTATCTCGCGAACCAACTGAGTGGCCTTCGTCTATCTTTGCAATAAAACAGAGAGAGCCTTATTGTCTGTCCTTGAATAGCGAATCTCCCGCGTAGTTGTTCAATCATCGGCTAGATACTTTTTCTTTCTTCTTCTTTTTTTTTTAATCATTTCACATCAGACAAGGTGGAACTCGTACACAAAGTACTAAAGGAAGTGAAAATGAAAGTGAAATTGAAAGTGAAAGAGGGGATTGAGTAAAGGTAGGATTGAGGAAAGGACAAAAGATGAACGGGGTTTAAAATGTCAACTGACGTTGCATTTAAAACTATGCTGTAAGCTGGGGTACTGTCTGACTGCTGCATTCAAATGACCGAAAGAATCGATGAAGAAAGTCTAGTGCAGAGTTTTTTGGGGGGTGGGTGAGGGGGTGAACATCGCATCATCCAGGTCAGTTTGCTCAAACCGTATTGTCAGATTTCGGTCTCTGCTACTTCTGGTTTATCCCCAATGTAAACTTGCCGTTTGATTAGATGAAAATTCCAGATCCTAGACGAGATTAAAAAGAACGTGACAAGACTGCTGATGGTGATCCCGAATGAGGATTATACCGTTTTTTTTTTTTTGTTTTTTGTTTGGTGGGGGGGATAATTGTGTAAGATCCCAAGGAAAATATTTGAAGGGCACGAAAGAGTCATTAATCTATGTATGCAATTTTTTGTTAATATCAAATGTTTGGGCCATTTTCGGACAGAGCTATCAAAAGTTTTGGAGATAAACCTATTAAACACTTCTTTGAGCATTCACCCTTACTGAAACTGATCGTATTTTCTCTATTTTGCTTATGGTGATGTCAGGAAGAGAAAAGTAGTATTTTTGTTTATGTACAACTCCTTATGCAACCCAAGTTTCTACTTGGCCACGTGCCAACATAATAACTCGAAGTTACCTTTGCCTGAAAAAAGAGTTATAACGAAAAATATTAGACAGAAATCTCGTCCCTAATGGTCATATAAGCACGATGCTCGTGGTTATATTAACCGTTCCTTTATAAGGAAACATTCGGCATTCATTGACCGAGCAACCAGTGTTATTTTCGGTTAAAATTTTTTTTTAAATATTTCTCTTAAAACAATTTTTCGGGAAAATAGTTTTCTCAAATCTAGTAACTGTTATTGCTCTTTCTAGTACTCATGGTGGTTTCCTTCCTAACCTTTTGTTTAAAATAGTGTGAAATATCAACATCGAGGATGTCATTATTATTATTATTTTCGAATTACATGTGCTATCCTTTTTAGTTGCTGTTTTTGAGAGTCTTCAAGTGATGTGATCTCTGTTAAATGGTAGAATTTTTTTTTTGCGATTCTGGGGCGCTAGTACAATTTTTGAACATGTTTGGTGCCATGCATAATATCTATTTAACGAGACTATTTCAGAATATGACTAAAGGTTTTAGTTTAATGTTTTGGTTTTGTTGCAATTTGTGGTGCTGGGCAAAATTACACTTACCACAGCCTATTTTCTGTTCAATTTTCTCATCCCCGGTACTAAACTTGTTATCCTTAATCCATACACCGAGATATTTACATGATCAGTATCCATCTCTTCACATCTCTACTTGGTTATGTCGATCTAATTATGATGATTCAGAAATCGATAAAGGTTCTCTCTGGACTACGAATTCTTTATTAAAAAGAAACCGGTTCCGTTGACAATCTGTTAAGTATCTTACCTTGCGCAAGCCTGGATTGCCATTCTATCTTTATCAGTGGAATTGTCCACAATCTTCAGTCGAAGATGTTTCTTTATGTGTGAATTATTCAAGTTGTACTGCCAGGCAACCTATGGAAAAATAAACAATTAATTAAATAAAGCGAAGAAGTAAAAAAATGTATAAGCCAAGGAAAAGATGCATACAACAAATTATATATATATATATATATATATATATATATATGTGTGTGTGTGTGTCTGTGTAGATTTTATATATATATATATATATATATATATATACATATATATATTATAATTATTTAAAAAAATATGATTCCTTCGCTACATAAGAGTTTTCCTGTTTCAAAAACGAGAGCCGAAAACCTCAATATAATTATTAAAATTAAATTGAATTAAAGTATCAAGCCCTGTTTCATCCTCAAGCGAAAATTCAGGAATAACCAATCTTGAAATTTACGCATCTTTATTAACATTCACAAAATTAATTACTATGGAAACGCTTGGGGCGACCATTTTGATAAGGGGCCTAAAAGTTAATTTTTATCCACATATCAGTCACCTTCAGAAAGAGGTCAAGCCGAGGTAGGATCGAGGTGTCCATTTATATGTGTGTGTGTGTTTGTAGATTTATATATATATGTGTGTGTGTGTATGTGTATATGTGTGGGTGTATTATAACTACTTTTTAAAAATATGATTCCATCGCTACATAGGAATTGCCATGTTTCAAAAAAAGAAAAAGCTAAAAACTTCCAGTTCAATTAAAGAAATTAAATTAAATTAAAGTACCAAGTTCTGTTTCATCCTCAAGCGAATTTTGAAATTTTTTCCAAAATTCGCTTGATGGTGAAACAGAACTTGGTACTTTATAGATTCAAATATATATTCCATATAAGTAAAAAAAGAGCCAATCTTTCCCGAAAGTCAATACCAAATAGTTGAATAGTCGTCACTTTTCAGTCAATGTGGAAGATGGATGTAAATTTAATACCACTTTGTTCAACAAATTATTTGTATTTTACTTGTTTTGTCTTTTTTTATTTTATTTAATAATGTGTGATTAGATTTAAAGTGGAATATGTAATATTATAAACTCACTTGAAGTAAAGCGGTTCCATTTCCACGGGCAGTTAAAGTAAGATTCCTTGACTCGCTTGGAAACTGAAAAAAAAATGAAATTGTCATTTAGGTTCGTAACAAATAGCATCATGATATTTTCCACTGAGAAGTTTTGAAAAAAAAAAGTCCCATATATTTTACATAGATAAAAGCCCTTCATAAGGGCTGTACTTGTGAGTACAATTTTTGGTATTTTTTAAGGCATAGGCTACCAGGGATTCCTTTAATGAATCTTTTCCAACCAATCCGAGAGCTCCAACTATCACAGGGATTGTTGATGTTCCCATGTGCCACATTTCTGAGATTTCTAGTTCAAGGTCCTTGTATTTTGATAGATTTTGAAGATCTTCAAAGATAAATTGCAGTCTGCAGGGACTGCAATAACAATAAGGAGGAACATTTTGTCTTTGTGGTCGCTAATCACAATGTTAGCTTTGATTGTTCTCTCTGTGTTCATTGTAAACTCTCATGAAATTGTAACAGATACTAAAAAACTAACCTACGATCACACACATTTTGCATAGATAAAGCTCTTCGTAGGGTGTGAACTGTATTGTGAGTTAATTCTTTTGTATTTCGTTAAGGTATGGCCTACCATGAATCCTTATAGTGAGTCTATCAGAACCTTTTCCAATCAATCCGAGGGATTCAAACTCAACTGATATTATTGATGTTTTCATTTGATACATTTTTAATGTTTCCACTTCAAGATCTTTGTATTCTAATAGTTTTTTGAAGATCTTCAACGATACATTAAATCTGCAGACACTGTCGTATCAATAAGAAAGCACATTCTGTTATTGCGGTATTTGATCACGGTGTCTGGGCGATTAGCTTTGATTGTTTTGTCTGTATGTATTGTAAAGTCACATAAAATTGTTACAGCTCCTATCTCTATAATCGGGTCTGGATGATGTTCATAGCAGTTTCTTTCCGTTTCCTCGCTTGGGCCTGTCTATCATGCTGAGTTCTTTATTCAGCGGGTGCTAACACTGTGCAACCTTATTCAAGATAATTATCTAGATAAATATTCTAGATAATTATCGCTGTATCTACATTTGAGGTCAACACAATTTTTCAGTATGTGTGCTTGGTAATGACTAGTTAGCAAGCATTAGTCCTGTGCAACAAGAATAAAACCTTTGATTTCAGCTTTTAACCCTGCACTACGTAAGTACTACTGGATACAGGATTTGTCTGCATCAGCTTGTTTAGTACGGGCAGAGTATTGACCATGAAAATATTTATTTTGCAATTGTTTCTGTACTTCGTATATTGCATTTACTTTGCTGCTGCAGTTGGTGTACTGTGGTTTATTATTATTATTATTATTATTATTATTATTATTATCATTATTATTATTATTATTATTATTAAAAGAAAACGAAGTTAAGAAAAATTCAAAAACAAATAAAAGGAAACTGCATCGTAAATAGAAAATATAAATAATTTATTGCAGTAATTCATTGTAAGTGATTTTACTCAAGAATACGTTATGTTTTGTTATAGAAATAAAATGCAATTTTTGTAGACATTGGATTTAATCGTTAATCCTAAGAGAAAACTGCAAACAGTTTTCATGTTAAATAAACATTCGAAAAGGATTTGATATGCAACTGCATAACATGTGATGCTGAAAAGTTCTCAGCCCGAACCACTTTACAAAATTTGACCAATTAACAAAATATAAGAGTTTTTTTTTATTATCCCTTTTTGGGTAGACCAAGAACTTTTAAAATAGTTATTTTAAACAATAAAAAATAAAATAAGTGACAGAGAACATCACTGGAAAGTACGGGGCACCTTGGCGTGGGGTAATGGTTAGCAAGCTTGTCGCACCAGAACACTTACGACTAAGTAGTAAATTCGAACTTCACTTGGTACCCTATACTTTTGGCCTTGTGCAACATCTAAGGCACGCTTAGAAAAATCATGGGCACTTGTACGTAGCGTAATGGTTAGCAAGTGTGTCTCACTAGAACAATAGCAACCAAGTAATGAGTTCGATCCTCACTGGGTATCCCCATACTTTCGACCTTGCAACACCCTCAAACAACGCTTAGAAAATCACCATCACTGAAAAATACGAAAACTTAAGGAATCTGCACATATGCTAAGCCACAAAAATCTCCTGGGCCGACCAAGCATAGAAATGAGTACAATATAGGAACCAGTAATATAGAGAGCTAGAGAAAAATAATAATAACAAAAAAAATGTAATATGAGCTCTGGTAAAAAATGTCTAATGAGATATTAGGTTTATAAGTCACTGATATCCTCAGGGACATATGACCCGGTGGATAAAAGTGGTTGAGTGATGTAAAGAGTTGTGAGCATACTATCACAGCAGAGGGAACAAAAACTTGAGAGTTGTGTTTCTCAAGGGAATTAACTGAAACTGAGACATCCAAAAGACATGGCACGTGGAATTAGAACAATCTATCCCCGTTGACTAAATAAAGAGTTCGATCGAAAGTTCAACGTTTCGAAATTGCTGAAGAAGGTCAGAGCGTATAACAGAAACGTGAACATGGCGAACGATATAAATTAAGTATGTCCACTATTTCGGCATAAATTTTCTATATTGAAGTTTAAAATGAATTTTTTACAACGAAAAAACATTCTTGAAGATTTCATTTTAGCTTTAATTGAAAGTTTAATAATTAAATTTACGATTTCTATTAATTAAACAATTCTGGTGTATTTCAGATAGAAACTATATACATTTGATTGTCAATTTAATTTCAAATTTTAAATTTTCTTAAAACGGCCATTTTCTTAATTTTAAGAAATTTGTAAACAAACACAAATTTATCGATTTTTAAAATATTTAAAAAAATTCTGACACGTTATTTTAGTAAAATTAAAAATTTAAAGTTAAAGTAATCTGATTTCAAAGAAATCTTTGTTACTTATAGCATAAAAAAATAATATACAACCAATTATTAACGAGCGGTCCTGTTCAGTTGTTCGATCTTATTGATAATGGTTGATTGATGAGCCGATGACAGCTACTACTGATGACCATAAATGACATAATTTTTAAGGCTGAGTTTTTAAAAAAATTATTCTATTTGAGTATGACACACACTAATGGAAATACAATACATAAAATAAAATTATTTAGTGAAATAGTAAATGAAAAAAAGAAAAAATAATTTAAAATTTAAAGTTTACACTTTTACAGCTGATCGGAAAATACAATCTGTTAATAAACGAAATGTTTTGAAAAGGCCACGTAAAAGGGACAAAACCCTTAGATCACGTGACCTTGTTATAATAATGGCAATTTCTGTATATCATACATGGAAATAAGGAATGTATTAAGTAAAAAAAAAAATACAACATAAAAATTATTTAAAAAAAAAGTAGCGCAACTAAATTTATTAAACTTAGCAATTTTGGATTCGTAAATTTTTTTTACTTAATTACTACATAATATCGAGGAACCCTCCTAATACAGAGCTTTACACGATTTAAAACTATTATAAATTATTATAATTAAAATTTCTTAAAAAACGAAAAAATTCTTGTAAAAATTAATTATTCATCAGAAAAATTATTTCTTCAGACAATAATGTCCTTAATATTACTTATTTACAAAAGCAATTAAAAGCTTTTCTAATTAAGTAATATCATAGTTTTATTGGATTCATTATTTTTCAATTCAGAGCAGATTTTCAGTTAAATAGTGAAAGAAAAGTAGATTATTTACCATCTTCGAAGACTCCTACTTTTAACAAAAAAAAAAAATTCAGGAACCAAAAAGGTTTTTGGGCGAAATTTCATTAAATTAAGTAAATGTGGGGTAACATATTTTAAAAAATATAATTTTACCAAAATTTTCTAAAAAAAATATTTCAAAATAATTTCATTGATTTGTGAATAAGTCCTGAAAATTTCATTAAGATTGGACAATTATTTTATTTTACAAGAATTTCCAAATCAATATGTTTTCAACGGTAAAAAAACGCAAAAAAAAAAACAATGTTATTTTTAAACGTCGCGCGATGACGTAAACAAAGACGACTTTAACCAAAATTTCGAACGTGTTAGAAAATATCAAAAATTTCAAAAATAATTAAAAATACTTTTTTCTTTCATCTAAATAATAACATAAGCATTTTGACGATAATACTTTATTTTCTTTAAGTTTGTGGCATTTTTCATTTACGCTATGCTGTTTTTCCGCGAAAACAGTGGACATGCTTAATATAAATCCAAGGAAAGTTGGTTTTCTGTGTCACACCAGAAGGATTTTCTCATCTGAGTCCATCCTTCACATCTACAAATCTACCATTCGTTCATGCATGGAATAGTGTTGCCATATATGGTCTGGTGCCCACACTGTTCATCTCGAGGTTCTCGACAAAATCCAAAGACGGATATTCAATGTGATCGGTCCTGACTTGGGGTCTCGACTCCAGTCACTTACTCACAGACGTAATGCGCCTTCTCTCTGTCTTTTCTATAAATATTTTTTATGGCAGCTGCTCTGACAAGCTATTTTCACTGGTTCCCCGTCTGCATGAATTTAAACATGCTACTAGATTGGCATCTCGGTCCCACCCTTTTACTGTCGATGCCTCTTCTACTCCAGCAGCTTCTTCTCTCGCACTTCCCGACAGTGGAACTCCCTTCCTCTTACTTGATTCTCTAATAACTATAATCTTCAAAAAATTAAATGTAATGTCAATCGGCATCATCTATTGCCTTGATCCCCGTTCTCTTTTCATCCTCCTCCGTTTTTATCCTTTCCTTAACCCATACTATACACAGACTTTTCCCTTGCTTACACTCTCTGTAGCCCTTGCGTACAAGTGGCACTCCAAGATCTTTGGGAAAAAAGTGTAAATAAAAATAAAAGAATACGTTGGCGGAGCGCCGATCATAAAAGTGGGTGAGAGTTGGGTTTATTTTGGGAATTCAATTCGAATAAATTTTTGTGATAAAAAAAAACAACAGTTTCTAAATACATATATAGTTAGGAAGCAACAACTTACAGTGTGCGAGATAAGCATTGTAGAAATATCTCTGGTAATTGTCGGGAAGCTATAGGAATAATCGAGTGAGTTAAAAGCTGTGACATCCACTTTCATTTTTGAAGACCATCCCTGAAGACTGGCAAACTTGGACAGTGCTTCCAAAGAAACAACCGTATCCTGCAAATTGGAAAACAAAACAGAGTGATTCACAGGGTAAATTTAAAATGAGGAAATATTAGAATTTCAGAATGAATTGAAACGTTAAAATCTACAAGCCAAAGAGTCATAATCTTCCTGCTTTTTGAAAAAAAGTATTTTCATTGTCAATTTTTCATTACTTTTTCTACCATCTGTTGCTTTTTATTACAATGTTCTCGCTCAAATACGCACTGAGTCGGGTTAATTTGAGCAGCTTCTTATGATATTCAATCAAGTGCTCAGTTTACATAGGCAACTCTACAATCAGTTCAGTCACAGAAATGTCTAAATATTAGAGGTAATTGAACGTGATCAGTGCTTGTTCCATAAATAAATAATGTACTTAAAAAACTGTACTTAATCAAAAGTTTAAGTGATTTATTAGGTTGAGTCATAAATAATTTCCATTTCTGTTTATCAACATTTTCAAAAAATTAATTACAATTACATTTTATTCAGTTAGATATTCATATTTATAATAGTCACGTGACCGAGTGTTTGCTTTCTGACCATGAGACCCGGGTTCGAATCTCCCCAGACGATTTGTCAGGGAGGTGATTTCTTGATATTACCGCCCTAGGGAAGCGATCCCAATGAGCGGCACATTTGTCAAGTGCCTGAAAATCATACCACGGCTTGACCCAAGCCTTGTAAGTGAAATTGGGTAGACGGAACTATTTGGAAGCTGTTGAATGTTGTGCGAGCACGAAGTCTCAAGTCATCGTGACCGAGTGTTTGAGCGTGCTGGCTTTGTTCATATTGTTGATCATACCAGATAATGCGCTCTCTCCCAGAAACTTTAAATAAAGTCCGCTAAACTTAGTTAAAGTATAAACCACAAGTAGCCTCTGTGAAGGTTGAACAAATACAAATGTGCCTGAGCAGGCGTCTGTAACAGGGATTGGATACCCGCCCTAGTTGACAGGCATACTCAGATACGAACGGCCAGCCATTATTTTTTATTCACCGTTATTTTTATTGACTTGTTGCAACTTATCAGATATCTCTTCGATATCTTTAAAGCAACATTCGAGAAAAAAAAATTGATTTGCAAAAAAAAACTTTTGACAAACTCGTTTGTCGAGAGAGACAGTGAGAGTGAGAGTCCCTAGGTATTACGATAAACTACATCCGGCAGCAAGACCTCTTATCGGAAGATTGGATGTTTTTCTTAAGTGATGTTTTTACCAGGTCTACTCTGACTCGGGGTGGTAGCACCTGTTTGGCTCCCGACTATGGGTAAATAGTCAACACCCGAAAAAAAGCAAAACACTATGAAAGAAAAAAAAATACTTAGTAAAATGACCACGCTCCTAAAAAAACCTCCCCGTCCTGGGTATGACGATAAACTACGTCTGCGTCCTGGGTAAGACGATAAACTACGTCCAACAGCAAAGCCTCTGATCAAGAGGTTTTGAGGAGCGTGGAACCACCTCTTAATTGCTGATGTTCCAAGGTCCACCCTGACCCGGGGTGGTAGCACCTGTTAGAGTCCCAGCTATGGGCAAATAGTTGACACCCAAACTTGTGTAAAAATAGGTTTTAATATCAGAAATACTTTGTAATAAAAAAAATATTACCAGCAATAATTTTTGAAGGAAAAATTATTATCAGCAATACTTTTTTTTTTTTAAAAAGTACTAGCAATACAAACAGCTATACATTCTTTGAAAAAAATATTAATAGCTATAGATTTCTTCAAGGAAAAATATTCCCAGCAATAGATTTTTGAAGAAAAACATATTACCAGCAATAAAAATTTTGTCGGCATTAAATAACCCATAGAGGGTGATATGCCGTAAAACAAATCAAACCAAACCTAAAAAACCTCCAATCTCCAGCTAAGAGGCCTTGATGCTGGATGTAGTTTACCGTCATACCCAGGACTAGATTGTATCAGTAAATCCTTATTATTTCTAAATAATTAATTAGTAGGACTTGTATCAGTAAATCTTCTGGCTTTAAATAATCTGCAATAGGTTGCTAATTTGGAAAAAAAAACATATCAAGTCAATCACTGTTTTTATTGGAAGTGAACATGCATTTTCTGATAGTTCATTGACTTACTTGTGTCGAATGGTAACCTCCCATGGAATTACGCTGAGATACAAGCCATCTCATAATCGGAATTCCGTCTCTAAGCAGTGCTTGTTTTGTGTAAGCCAATAACACGTAGGAAGAGATCTCTACATTGCCGTTCTCATCAGTTGAAGAACGGAAATGGGACCCCACTTCTTTCATCTTCCAGTACTGCATCCCACCTACGAAAAGGGAGAAAATATGATACATGAAGCGCCGGCATGCACGGATTGAACGCTAAAAAGCAAAAGAAAAATAAGGTGCATATGTGACATTTTGGACCGTGATCGTATATTAGTTGGGATACCCACAGAAACAAATGATTTTATCGAGGCTTGAAGCGACTGGTACTTTACGATAGGTTCGCCACTAAAATCCAGGTGGGGAAATTTCCAAGCAATCACTCGCTATCCACAAATAGCAAAAAAAGGAAATGAAATAGAAAAAACTGTCAAGGGTCAAGTGCTACCCGACCGGAAGTTAAGGAATTCCCGGTGCACGCTTATATAACTAGGTCGCATTCTGAGTTGGTAACAAGTCGAGATGTAGAGAGAGACAGTGAGATTGAGAGTCCCAATTAGTGATGAGTAGACTGTTAGTCAAATGTTTCGCTGGCTGAAGAAAAGATCTGGAAAAAAGACATAAGTACGTCAGATGAATCCTGAATGAAGAATTCTGTTTACTGAACACGTGATTCAGGTTTACTTTTCGTTCTTTTCTCGAACTTACAAAGGAACTTTCCCAGTTTCTGCTCACATGGACGCAGACTGGAATCTAACCACAGAAACTGACATAACGGTAAAAACAAGCCCGAGGGACACGATATAAACATCAAGAGGTTACGGTCATATCACGTTGAAACACCGATTCTTGTTCAATCGTTATAGTTAAGCAAAATTGTACCTGATCAATATCTAGATGAGTGAGCGCTTGTGAATAATCAGATGCTATAAGCTTGGATGTGCATGTGGTATAGTGGATAACGGCTCGGAATGAGAAATCGGAGAGACGAGTTGGAATTTCAGTCAGGTTTATACATCCACTGACGCATAATTACACTTGGGTGACCAGGAATCAAAAAAGGGAGACAATCGAGAAAGGAGCGAAAGAGGGACAAAATCAAAATAGAACAGAAAGTGGGGAGCGATCGAGACAGGAATGATAGAGGGAAAAAGAGGAGCGCAATCGAGAAAAGAGAGAAAGAGGAAGACAATCGAAAAAGGAGAGACAAGTGACACGATCGAATAAGGAGAGAAAGAGGGACATGATCGTGCAAAAGTGTGATATTATCTAAAAAGAAACGAAAGATGGATACGATCAAAAAAGGATAGGAAGAGGGGCCCGATGAAAAAAGGAAGGAGAGACGATCAAACATGGCACAAAAACGATGGAGGGAGACGATCAAATAAGACACAAAAATGTGACATTATGAAAAAGAAACGAAAGATGGACATGATCAAAATAGGAGAGGAATTGGGACACGATCGAGAAAGGAACAATAGAGGGAGACAATCAAAAAGGTGTAAAAATGTGACATTATTGAAAAAGATGCGAAATAAAGACACGATCAAAAAAAAAAGGGGGAGAAAGAGGGTCACGATCAAAAAAGGGGCGTAACCCCAACAAAAAATATTCAACACCAACTTGTTTTCACGGATTCATCTTATATACTGTGTTTGGACATTTTATGTCAATCAATAATCATATATATATATATATATATATATATATATATAACAACAAATTGAAGACGCTGGCAGATTGAAACAAATGGTTAATGCATAATGCGCTATTCGTTCACAAACGCTGGGGTTCATCTTTCCATATGCCCAGTATCATTATTTAATTATCACACCACTTTTGCAAATATTTATACGTGTGTGGTAGAAGATTCGCTGTGATATTTTTGACATCATAAAAGCTCTTGACTTGTAAGACTTATCCTCCACATTAAGGCCTTTGTCTCACAGACGCAACACCACAAGTCTATCGCTATTTCCATGGCAAATGTACAGATAATCTTCATTCTATCAGTTCATACCTTTACAACTAGGACATGCTTTGCTACTCGCACCGAGTCAAATCATTTACTCCGTATTCTAAACGCGTACGGATAAGTTCGACTCAGACAGCTGTTACCTAAGAATTGATACTCCTGCATAGGTGTTTAGCTGAACACAAAAAGCTTAAATTTTTCAAGTCAAGGGCTAATCATAATCTACCTCTTCCCAATAATTTTCACTTCTTACCACCGCCTCTTTCATTCACTTTCCACACCCTTTCGCATAAACATTTTAACTATAATCCTTTAACTTGTATGGGCCTCGAGCAATGCTGTAGCTGAATTTTAGTATAAAAAAGAAAGTACACAACTCATATCATACCTTCCTTGGTCGATTTATGATCGAGTTCCTCATAGATTTTCTGAAAATAATCATCATCTTCTAGAAGACTCATGCCATATAGAAGAACTGCCAGAGAATACGGATCTTTTTCGGCGTCTGAGTCTATCCACTGCTTAAGGTTGTTCGCAAGAGATTGAATTGCTTGCTGGTGACCATCCTTCAAAGATAGAAAAAAATAATTTAAATTTTCATTAGACCTTATCAAAGGAATGATTTTCTCCCTGCTTTAATGTTGTAAATAGATTCTAAAGAGAGAATAAATGGTTTAAATGTATCAACAGACCATCATACCCTAAAGTATATATTTAATACTAATAATTAACTTTACATTATTTTTAATCTCCCTTTGATCTTATTTTAGAAATTATTTTCTTTTTACGTCAATACTGTACATTAAATTATTTAATTTTTGTCAGTTGACTTATTTCATAAATGACTTATTCACAAATGAATTAAATTATTTTTTAAATATTTTTTTACAAAATATTGGTAAAAATATATATTTTTATATCTGTTAGCCACACTTACTTAATTTTATAAAGTTTCGAGAAATTAAATTTTAATCCACTTAATTTTTATATTAATTAAAAGCACGAGTCCTTGGAGAATGTAATCATCATTTGTTGTTTTTGTTGTTCAAACAGTCACTCATGACATTATTTAGAAAAGATTTTAATTGTCTTTATAAATAAGATGTATTGAGGACACTATTGTCTTAAGAAAAAACAAGTTTGGATGAATAATTAAATTTTACAAGGATTGCTTTCATTTTTTTAAAAATTTTAATTATGATAATTTATAAAGTTTTAAATCGTTTAAAATTCTGTATTAATTTCATTTTTTTAGATGATATTATTATTATTAAGTGAAAACTATATTTACTAATCATAAATGGAAAAGCTTTGTACAAATCATCACACAGTAATATTTTTAGATTTTTAAAAGAAATTTTGGATTTATTTTTTGTGTTTGTATATAACCATGGCCTTTTTTGTAAGTACGAGCGACCATACATGACATTATCAAGAAATAAGAGAGATGACTACAGTAAATTTAAAGTCAACATTTTTAAAATTTAATAAAATATTTGATTACGGAGAATATTTTCATAATTTTTTAAGATTACTGAGTACTTAAAAATTATATTAAAAAGGCACTTCATTTTCTTAAATTATGTTTTACAGATAAATTTCCCGTAGAACAACATTAGACATATCATCAGGCTGTCAACACGTAAAATCAACTATTATCGGTTAAAAACACAGCTACTGTCGAGTTAAAAATGTTATTTGCGATATTCTAAACATAATGTAAATTATATTAGTTTCAAATCATATTAATTATACTTTAAATCAGCTAATATTCCTAACAAAAAGTTTCAGAAATGTATATTTTGTTTTTGCAAGATTTTGAAAACTGGGAACTAACTTGTGTTTACAAATGTCTCAAGAAATAAAATTTTGTCGATGTTAGTGAAAAAAATTCTGCTTGAAATACGCCAGAGTATTTTACTTACTGGAAATAGTAAATTTAATTTAATTAAAGCTAAAATGAAAGCTTTTTCATTTTAAAAATTAATCTAAACCTTAGTCATCGCAATTTTTGTGGAGGTTCCTAGTTTAAATGTATTAACAACCATTGTACCCTAAAGTAAAATGTATTGCTAATAACTAACTACATTATTTTTAATCTTCCTTACACCTCCTTTTAGGCATTATTTTCTTTTTGCCTTAATGCTGTACACGGACTCAAAAATAGAAAGTTTAGTTTAAATGTATCAACAAGTCATCGTAACCTAACGTAAAATGTATCTCTCATAATTAACTTTATTTTTAATCTCCACATAACCTTATTTTGAGAATTATCTACTTTTGTGGTTAATGCTATAAACTGTCTCGAAAGATAGAATGAAATATTCAAATATATGAACAAACCATCGTAAAAACTTAATGCTAATAATTAACTTTAATTTAATATGATTCAATATTTAGTTAGCTTCATAAGAATTTTTTTGAACCAAAATAATGAGGATTTATGCTTGAATTTTACATCCTATGCTGTTTACTTTTGATTGGTTGTGTAGACATCACGTGTCTATCTTATGGAGTAAGTGTTTATGTATGTACTACATTTTGCATTCTATGTTTTGTTTTCATTCGTTGTTTGGACGATCACGTTGTTTGTGTGTATGTGTAATTCTTGAAATCTTATCGTAATTTGAGTTTTTATTTAAAAGAAATTTAGTTTCTTCGCGTATTTTAATTGTATGATTATTATACCAAATGTTGGAAGCGACAACGTAATACAAGTCTACATTATCAACAGGTTTTCCGAATATTTACGATATGAATTTGTGTGTTTGATGAGTATTTATTGTATGTTGGTTATTTATTAAACTTTAGATGAACTTGTGTGTTTAGGAATTGATGCAATGGCAGGGGGTAAATAACGGTGATTATAATGACTCCGCAGACCAATAAAAAAGATCTGAAGTACCATCATTAATTCTCTTTAGATGTGTCTGCCATTCAGTTCACTTGACTGCTATGTAAACTTCTGCAGAATGCCTCCCAAGACATTTATAGTTGCTGGCAGCAGACAATTATAAATGTCTCCCTCTTTCTGCTTCACATAAGTTAAATTATACTAATTTGCATAAAAAAACAGAAAGATTTCTAAAGATTCAAATATCCATTGTATTTGTAGTAAAAATAATAGAAGTACAATGTGAAGAATTAAGACTCCATTTTGAAATGACGCAGAGAAAAAAAAGATACATTTTACACATTTGAAATCCTTTATGAATTCTATCAGGAAAAAGTTGTTTATTTAAGTTATGTCTGCCTGATTTGCTTTGAAGTTCCAGAAAGTAATGAGTTATTTGAATATATAGATAAAGGCACATAAAAAACTTATATATATATATATATATATATATATATATATATACATACATATATATTATCTATATAGCTATCTGTGTTCATTATCTATATCTGTTCAATATCTATCTGTTTATGTTATCCCTATCTCTCTCTCTCTCTCTATATATATATATATTCATTATCTATGTTCGTTATCTATATACCTATCTATGTTCATTATATAATTAAAAGTAATAATTCGCGCCTGATGAGTTGGTAGAACAACGAAACTTTAACTTCAAACGTAGGTATATGAATATTTATTGGTATAAACTCATATCTCATTATCATTATCTAAGACATTATTTATTTATCTAACGCTGTTCATTATCTATGTATGTATCTGTTCATTATCTATATATATATATATATATATATATATATATATATATATATATATGTTCATTATATTATATATCTATCTCGCTATCTATTTATATATCTATGTTCACTATCTATCAATATATATATATATATATATCTTTTCATTATTTATCTGTGTTCATTATCTATGTTCATTATCTATCAATATATATATATATATATATATATATATATATTCATTATATTATATATCTATCTCGCTATCTATTTATATATCTATGTTCACTATCTATCAATATATATATATATATATATATCTTTTCATTATTTATCTGTGTTCATTATCTATGTTCATTATCTATCAATATATATATATATATATATATATATATATATATATATATATATATATATATATATGTAATATATAAATGATCTAAATAAAAGATACGATCCACCATATGTGTGATCTATTATGTACATATACAGGCGGTCAAATAACTATTTATTTAATCGGTTGTGTAGACAAAACAGTGCTCAATGTAGCTGAACAGTCCTATAAAGTATATATTAATAATTAAACCTATACCTAATTTTACAGTACTACTCGGAGTTTCATGGCTTTCATCAGGTACAAAAAGCTATGAACTGTTCAATACGATTGTTTTTTTTTTAATTTCTGGGTTTCATGGGAGCAACGTTACATTTTATGTGGATTCAAACTTCAAGATGATTATAAATATAGTAGTATTGGGATATAAATTAAAAATATAGAGAGTTGGTAGGTAGATATCGAAAAATAAACTAAGTTATTAAGAGTAAGTTTAATAGGAATATTGATCCGGTTATGTGTACAGAGTCAACTGTTAAGATTATTGCAACACGAACCAAAAAAAAAGATAGTTATCACATAAAATGCGTGGGTAGGCAAAAAAAAATATAGGGTTAAAAAAATAACGAAAAAATAAACAAAAAATAATAAAACAGATAAAAAAAATGGATGTTAGGTTACAAAAAAAACCCTTAAACGAGTGGATGGTGTAGGGGAGATAACTGCATATGGAAAAATGAAAAATTATTAGAGGCAGGTCATTTGGAGTATTACAGAGATATTTTAATTGCACTAGCTAGCATCAAAATATTTAAGAAGAGGCTTTCTTCTGATACTGTATGCAATCTTAAGATCATTTCGCTTGTTCAGTTGATTATGATTATCGATGTGTTTGAGAATAGTTCGTTTTTCTGATAGGTACGGAGTACATTTATCTTTGTTGAGGTTAAAATGTTTTGTTCTAGCGATGAAATCCCAATTTACTACAGATGTGTAATTATCTGGCTTAATTCTCCCCGAAAAATTTAGAGAGTGCCGTGGTATTTGAATATTGCTTATTGTCAATTTATGATGGTAATACCGGTTTTTCTAATGGTTCTGTGTTTATGCGTTTTGTTGTCAGTCTTATTATTGTCGAGGTATTCTCGATGAACTTCGTGTTTTGTTTTTATTTGTGCATCTATATATTTAGTTTTAGATTTGTCGAAAATATCTTTATTACTGGAGTTAATAGAGAGCCTATGCTGCATTGACTTGTGCAAATTATTTAAAATTACTGGGGGATGATTATATTCTTTGCTAATGTACTTATGATTATAAATTTCATTAGTGACCCAATTCTCAAGGTTCCGCAGAATCAATATATATATATATATATATATATATATATATATATATTATAAATTATTTGATTTAAAGTATGTTTTTTTTCGCTACACAGTTCTAACCATGTTTCAAAAATAGAAGCTAAAAGCCCCGAATTTAATTTTGTAATTAAATTAAAGACATTAGTTCCATTTCATCCTCAAGCATATTTTAAATCAATTAATTTATAATATTAATGCTCTGTAAATTTACATTGAGCACTATTATGTAAAAATATATATAAGAACACCGGATTATATATCTTACTGCTCTTTCTTTTTATTTATATACATACTTTTTATTTATATACATACTTTTTATTTATATATATATATATATATATATATATATATATATATATATATATATATATATATTTGTTCATTATTATGTATCTCAGTTCATCATATATCTATCTACCTATCCATGTTCATTATCTATGTTCACTATATATATATATATATATATATATGTTCATTATCTATGTCCTTTATATATGTATCTCTATTCATTATCTATCAATCAATAAATATGATATATATGTGTGTGTGTTTGTGTGTATGTGTGTGTGTCTATGTGCGTGTTCGTTTTCGTGTTTGTGTTTTCTATATATATTATATATGCACAGTGCTGAATATTAGTGATAGAGCTAACATATTTAATTGTATAGATACGAGTTTATGACCCTGGGCTTCAGGCTTTTGCGATCATCGCTAATGATCGCAAAGCGTGAAACCCTTGGTCACAAACTCAGATTCATAGAACTATATACATACATACATATATATATATATGTGTGTGTGTGTGTGTGTGTGTGTTCGTTATCTATCGATTAATTTATCTATGTTCATCACACACACATGTATATATATATATATATATATATATATATATATATATATATATATATATATATATATTGAGCTTTGAATCTGCATTTAATTTAGCATTCCTCTCATAAAATTCAGTATATAGTGTAACCCAGATATAAGAGAAACCTGGATATAAGAGAGATTTTCTCTGGTCCCAAATTAGAGCCCATACTTACCTAAACAAAATAGACCAAACCCGGATATAAGAGAAACCCGGATATAAGAGACTTCTTCTCCGGTCCCGACTACTCTCTTATATCCGGATTACACTATCTATATATATATATATATATATATATATATATATATTTTAACATAAAATAATTTGCGCCTGATGAGTTGGTTGAACAACAAAACTTTAAGTTGCACTTCTAACGTAGGTATATGTATATTTATTACTCATGCTCTTTATCTATCTATCTATGCTCATTATCTATCTATCTATCTATGTATCTATCTATCTATGTATCTATCTATGTATCTATCTATCTATCTCTATTCATTATCATTTTATGAATATTGGTGGCCCGAAAAAATGTATTTGATGGATATTTAGATGGGTCGATTATTTACTAATATTTATTCTCTATATTTTCTATTTAATAAGTTATTTTAATAACTTACCATTTTAAAAATCATAATTATACCTTACTTTGTTTCTAAGGAATACTAATAAATTATCTATGTGTCTGCAAAATACAAAAAAACAAAAAACAAAAACAAAAAGTCAATTTCCAGGACTGCTTCAAAATCACTCTTTTTACGCCAATTCCAAATTTCTGTTTGTTGAATGCGCTTGTTGTCGAGCGATGGCTAGTAAGCTTTTCTCACAGTGAGTTCGGAATTCAATTTGTTTATTACTATTGTAGGCTTCTACCGGTTTAAGCCTACTAAATGTACCTTTTTCAAGTTATTTTATTACTTACCACTTGGTATTCTGTTGTTTCTAGAAGTGTAATGAGGATATAGGCATTCATGGGGATATCTTTTGTGGCGCCACCCTAAAATAAGAAAATGTTAAAAAATATTAAACAAGAAAAGAATAACAGATATGATAAAGCTCTCAACATTGCTTCCCTCATCAGACGAGGAACCAGAATGGGATCCCCAACTTCTTTCATCTTCAAACGCTGTATCCCATCTACGAAAATGAAGAACATAAGAGTAGAGATGATGCCGAGATGCACAGGTCGAAGGAAACAGGTAAATGGGACACACAATGTGCCAAACTCGTCTATTTCGTAGCACCCCCAGAGTCAAGTGGACTATAAGTGATCTTATCTTGTTTTGACGGTAGTTTTATGAAAAGCAACAGTAAAATCGAGATGTAAGAATTTCAATTAACCATTCGCCGTTCACAAGTACTAAAAAAGGAAATAAATATACAATTAACAACTTTAAGGTATCAGGTACCACTTATTTAGGACATTCCGGTCGTGGACTTATATGTCAGCTTACTTGGAAAGAAACAATGCAGTTATTAATAAGAATTGAAATGAATGCGCACAAGATTTCACAGCTCTAGTATCAATCTTTCATAGCACATGAACTTTTCAGTCCACCCTCGTTGTCAAGTCTCATTCCAGAATGGGTTAATAACAAGCTATCCGCCATGATGTAGAGAGTAATAGTGAGAGTGGCAGCTGCACTTAGAGAGGGAGAGAAGGGCAGTCGATGATCCCGCTGGCCGAAGTCAACATCTGGTCCGTTACTCTGTATAAAAACTGCTTAAAAGTGCCCAGTCATATATTTATACAGGTATACACATCAATTACAGAAAAGGTAATAGTAAAATGGTATATATATATATATATATATATATATATATATATATGTAAGCAAATATATGAATATAGATACGACAGTATGAAGAAAAATATACTGAAAAAACAAACAAAAATCCTAATATGCGATTATGCTGTTTTAATGTTTAATGTCAACGTCGGACGTTTCGGTCTAATAGACCATAGATATCAGTTATCTGTTTGGATTGGTATTGCTTTTATGTCCATCGTCTTTTTCATGTTGAATTGTATATGGTCTATGTTAATTATGTTTTATGAATATGTCCTGAAGATGGTCTATTAGACCGAAACGTCCGACGTTGACATTAAACATTAAAACAGCATAAACGCATATTAAGATTTTTGTTTGTTTTTTTTCAGTATATTTTTCTTCATATACATATATATATATATATATATATATATATATATATATATATATATATATATATATATATATATAAAGTATGACAAAGTAGACAAAGTTTACTTTTAACGGGTTTCGTACTTAAGGGCTTCATTAATGATGTTTACGTTGATGCGATTACACATGTGCTCGAAGGAAGTGGACATTGAGAATTTTAAATTTAAATGTTTTTTTCTTTTATATATATATATATGTTTTACTTATACGAGGTCTGTCTGAAAAGTTACCAGGCTGGTGTCACAAACAATTTATTTCAATTCAAACAAAAAATTAGCTGGTTTCCCCTTCAAAATCTTTACCCTCGAGTCCATCCTTCTCTATCAAGCTTCTATGGACTGTTAGAAGTTACGGCCCTCTTGATGGCCTGCACGCCTTCAAAACAGATCCTCTTGTTGACCCCCTTGAGCTTAGGGGAAAGAAGAAAGTCACACGGAGCAAGATCAGGTGAATAGGGAAGTCGTTCCAATACGGCGATGTTCTTCTCGGCCATTAAATGCCGGATGCTCAAGGCGTTGTGAACAGGTGCATTTTCGGAGTGAAGCAGCCACAATTTGTCCTGTCACAGCACTCGCATGTGAAAAAATGCAATGGTTGAAGAAAGGTAAGGTTATAGTTGTATACTCTCATCATTTTAGATGATAATGCAATCCGCTTATCCCTCTTTCGCCCAGGGCGCACAGAGCACACCAAGTACCATTTCTTTTCAAACAGACCTCGTATACTCTAGCCGATTCCATTTAGATATCCTTTTTGTTTTGTTCATGTTTATACCACTGTTGTTAATAAATATCCCACATTGTGAAAATATATCTGCCAAGAAGGGTAAAACATTCTAAGTGCCTGGACGTAAATTTACTGTGGATGATCTCTCTCTCTCTCTCTATATATATATATATATATATATATATATATATATATATTGGTGTAAAAACATTAAGCTGAATATATTATTAGTCATAATTTAAAAACAACTGCTGGTAAAAAAAAATGAAAGAGGAAAGCTAACCGGTTTCGCTCCCGCTCTTCAAAGTTTTTAAACGGGAGAAAAGGAGTAAAACACAATAAATCTGATTAACGAATGATGGATGAGAGAATAGAGAAGGGAAAAAAGTGGTGGGGGTCGGAGATTACTAGAGACTAATGACAGCAAGCCCCTGAAAACAACCACGCTGTTTACAGAGATACGGTTTGCGTGACTTGATACAGAGTGACTTTAGATAAAATAAAGTGTTTGACAAGACAGTAAGCCAGTCAACACTGAATTCAGCCGCACACTTACTATTCTTTAAAAGGTACTCATAAATTGAGGATCCATAGGTATTTTGGATTAGTTCATTTAAAACCAAGGTGTGATTCCTGATTTTACCTGACATGTGTTGTTTTATCCTCACATCTAGTCGCTGGGTAGACATCCCTATATAGCTGACTTCGCAACTACAAATATATCTGTATATGTCAAATAAATTGATGAGCGGGAAGAACATCCTTACGGCCTGGTATTGAATACGACACGAATCTCAGCAGAAAATAACACTCACGGACACTAGATGAAATTTGCCTGGAGAGGTTTTCACCTACAGCTCCAATCCAAGCAAGTTGAGAAAATACATGGCACCTCTCTACCGTAGCGGACTTTTTCTTTTTTTTTAAATGTACGTAAAAAAAATGTTCCCAAATGAACATGCGAAAAATCAAGAAACGTAAAGTCTAGGTACACATACACTTACGAATATCATCCGACAAAAACAAACTAGAATTATTATACACTTGCATACATAAAGCAATATTTACGTCTTTTATTCAGTAAGGCTTGGAATCCGTTAATTTCTTGAAATCTCGGATGAACCCGTCGTCTCCCCTTGAATCCGGAACCGCCACAAATTATACTAACGCTGGTTTGAAAAGTCGAATGCATGTGAAACAATTAATTAATGAAAATCAAACAACACGAAAGTAAAGATATTCCAATTTCTTTCTTCTTCTTTTCCATTTCTCATATATCTTCATAAGTCATTCTCGGGTGAAGGTTTAATAAAAGTGAAACATGCTAGACTGATAAACGCTTCCTATTTATTCTTTATCTTATCATCATGTGGGATATTGATCCATATTTGATCTATATTAGATCCCAAATACATGAGGAAGTGAGGGGGAGAGAGAAGACATTGACACATTTAAACGGTTAACTTCCTCACTTCGTTAATTTACATATGTTTAATACGGCCCATCAAAAATGTGTAAATTTTCTTTTCATTTTTTGTTTGGAAGTAAAGTCTGATGATCCGCAGTCCTTTAAAAGGGCTGTGGTGAAATAATTTATTACATGGAACCTTAAAGTGGTCTGTTTTTATTTAAATTATTTGCTCTGGATTTACATTGAGCTCTCTGGATTTTATCCTCCTTAGGTTTACCCATATATATATATATATATATATATATATATATATATATATATATATATATATATATATTGTTACCAATAATTGTACCCCCGACCTTAGATTTTACAAGTATATTTTTAATACCTTACATGCGACGAGATATGAGAATAATAATCGTCTCTTTATTTCTTTGAATATGCAGATTATGGAATATTTTTTGTACCCGGTTAAACTAAAGCCAGTTCTTGGAAGAGAACCTTCCTTTGCCCCTCCTCCTGTCTGGTCTCTGATCGTAGGCCAGACGAACGCTGCTTGTCTGATAAATACAAGTGACCCTAATAGTGTTCAATGGATAACGCCTACTCACTTTCATATGCCAACACGTAACTTAATCTCTAACCTTTATTTTTTCGCGCGTGTTGGGATATAACAACGTCACTTAGCTGTTTGCTTTCAGAGGAATCGGACGTCATCAAGAATCGAATGACCGACGAAAGAATCCTGAACGGTATTCTCAAACCCAAGTCGTCTATACTCCTGTGGTTTATCTGCGTATACTACTCGCCATCAGCAAGGATTGAATGGCGTTAATCAAGGACTTATATCAGGACATTAGCAACTCCACCTCTTTCGTTCGGAGAATTGAATGGACATCTTTTCTTTCGAACTTTATTTCTGATAACGATAGATCGACGTCGATCCCTACAATTTGTAAGTCTTTACATGTTTATATATATATATATTCTATAATCTGCTGTCACTATTTTTGTCTGTATTTCGTCGCATTTCATCGCATTGATATATGTTCGACCAACCAATTGTTCCCTCATCCATTTTACTATTTAGTTTTCTTTTCTTTAATTTAATACACTGTGTATTTTATAAATAAAGTATTTTATTATATGTTCTCGTGTCGTCTTCTGTTGTTCTGTGTCTGCATATTGTTTGTTTTCTCACTGCGTTCACCGACGTCCAGAATTGGAGAATTCTCCTCCCATCGTTCTTTTCGTCAATCTTACATTGAACCCTGGGATACTCTCGTTTATTTTTTTTTATTTTCTCGTTGCGTTCCTGCTATCGTAGTCCCAACGAAACCCCGGACGTAACAGAATATATTTCGTACAATATAAATTTTGCTCTGTTTAATGAAAATAAACATTGAGCGCTCTTTGTGAGTCAGTTTTAACATTTAATATTTCAAATTCTATATTGTGTTAAAAGGACTCGCTTGGATTATAGCAACGGATTACTACCTATATATATATATATATATATATATATATATATATATATATATATATATATATCATGTCATGTATGTGTGTGTGTGCTGTGTACTGACTACTTACTTGCATGTCTTGATGTATAACCTTTCCGGTTTCATTAAATCTACCAGAAGGAAGTTGTTGTTTTAGGAGCCACTCTAAAGAGTCTCTCACCGAACTTTCTTCGATAGAAACATTGGGAATAGTTTTTCGGGCTTGAGCAAAGCATTTAACCACAAATGCAGTCAACCTGTGTAAAGAAAATTATTAACATTTAAAGGCTATCTCAATGTAAATGTAAGTTTATCGTATGCAGATTAATGAAAACACGATACTAAATTTCTCATATGTAACATTGTTTATGTAATCTCGAACTTCGTCAGTACTGCCTGGTGTATGACTTTGGGGTTTTTCTCCGAACTTGGTTCTACATTTTTGCGAAGGTGTAAGAGACTATTCTCTCTTTCTTCCTTCTCGGGTGACTGCTTGTATATGTACCTTTCATCCGGTTTATCCCACGTGTACACCTTCGAGGCACAACTGGGTCATCCACGTTTTTATATGTCGGGAGCAGCCACTGGCATCTAGTGATGGCGCGGATCTGCACCTGGTGGCGAGGAGGTTATCTCTCTGATGAACCGTCGTATAAACCCTGTTCCTCTGTTAAACACTGAGTGCAAAATCTATTTTGGCCTGATTTCAGGTAAGTTTGTTTTTTATCATTCCCTCACAAGCAAGATAATAAAGCCTGTAAGATACAAGGAAACTGAGAAAACCTTACTGAGGTGAAAGGATAATGAAAGAATAGGATTCAATGAGACAGCAGATGACTATTGGAATGGCATCTAAATTCGTAAAGATCGTCTTTGATAGAAAAGTCGGAAAAATGTTGCATAAGTAACAGGTGCAAAAGAAGACACTTCTAGCATAGAACTTATGGTTACTTCTATCTATTTGAATTGTAACATGATGAGCCCTAACTGCCAATCTTGTAGTACGCTTAAATTTATGAAATTGAGATACCGAAGAAGAAAGCTCATCAGGACAATTACCATAAAAATATTTATAGAAAAGGAAGAGGGAAGCTTCGTTAAGGCAGTAGGAAAGTTATTGAAGCCGAGATGCCAGGTCAGGATCGATAACATTGCAGATTCTTCTTTGGATTTTCTTCAAGAATCTCGATATAAGTTGAAGCACTAGAAGCAATATTCACTGCACGAACGAATGGTACACTTATAAATATGCAAGACAGATGCAGGTGAGAAAAAATTGCCTAGCACGACACAGTGAACCAACTTGAGAAATATTATACCATCAACCATTTTAAAATATATGGTGTAGTCTTTGAGTCTCAACAAGACAAATTAGTGCTGAGTTACCCAGTTGATAGTAACACTTTCTGGAGTTGCTGAAATATCATTAAGTGTCGATGTATGTCGATATTTGATAACTTATTTGGTATAACTAATAGTTGGGTGTCCGTTTCTGTGTATGTCCGTGTGATAGGATGGCTTATCAGTAACATTTTTTTTGCTTCCTAAAGACTCACAGAGCCAACCAGAAGTTGCAGTTATGCTGAGCGAACCTTAGTTGCAGTTTCTGTGAGAAAGCGCATCATCTGTCGTGGTACTAAGTTTGAAGATAGCCAGTATGCTCAAATCCTCAGTCACGATGGCTTGTGACTTCGTGCTAGCACAACCATCGACGGCTTCAAACAGTTTTAGCTGTTTGATTTCTCCCCTCAATACTTCTCGATTGTCATGTACTTCTTAACAAATCGATCATGGTGAGGTTCGGAACCGGGTCTCATGATCAAAAAGCTGATATTCCAACCACTTTAAACGCTTATTTATGCTCATGCATATAATACATTAACTAAAGCGTTGTGTATACAGTAATTTCGGATACACCATAATGCTTGATTTGTAATATTGTTTATTTCGGAAATTCACCCTTCATCATCATCAGTACCGTGGCCGCTTCAGTCGTTGGGGCTATGCAGAAGAAACATTGATCATTTAGCAGTCGGTCTCAGGAGTTCCAACATTGTCATGTCTATTCACTTTTTGATTCTGTCTAACTAGCTTTTGCGTTACCACCCCAGCTTGCGTCCACCTTCAACACTGCCTTGCATGATGGTCTTGCAGAGGTTGTTATGCCGTGTGACGTGGCCAAACCATGATATCTTCCGAAGCTGAATAGGGGCGAGGAGAGATTCCTATCGGCCCACGAGACTTTTGACCTAGCTCGGTACATAGTCGTTGGTTTTGTGCTCCCTGTGAGGAGCTTTCTCAAGGAATGAGACCTTTAAACATTACTAAATATAACATTTAACATTACTAAATTTATTACGAAAAATATTTAAAAAAAAGAGCTCTAGAATATTATCGCTACATGGTGTAGTGCCAAATATGAAAATCACGGGACAAACTTAGTATCAAACCAACATAGATGTCCTATTTAGTCAGTCGAGTTATTTGTATGCGGCAACTAGTGTGGATCCAAGTAACTATAAAGGTAGTAATATTCTACTAGACTAAACATTAACCAACAACTTGTAGGGCTTACGGTCACATCATGTTGAAATACCGGTTCCCGTACGATCACCGAAGCTACACAATGTCGAGACTAGTCAGTACCTAGATGGTTGAATGGGAATGCCTGATGCTGTAAGCTTGGATGTGGGGTGATCTAATAGATAATGGCTCGGAATTGTTAATCGGAGAGCAGAGTTTCAATTCCAGTTAGGTTCGTTATAATCCATTACGGGCAAATACAATTGAGGAAGGTATGAATCCATCACTTCGCCTCCCCAGCTATGGGTTAATTAGTAATAATTGTATCACTAAATCATTATTATCTAAAAACAAAATATACAATCTAAAAGTATTCTTTGGCTTTAAATAACCAGAAAAGGATTGATAAGCAGTAGAAATTGAACCAATCAATAAAAAAAGACAAATTGTATTATTTAGTCTTTTGTTTTTAATACAAAATAATTTATCGTTTTTATTTTTATCAAAACATTTAACGATTGAAAGGCAGTAAAAGAATAAAGAATTTAATAATTTCTCCCCGATTCTTAAAATGATAATTATCGTATAATAATTATGCTTATCTTTTTTCTTCGTTAGTTAGTTCCTTTGTTCTTATGTCTGCTCTACTCTGTCATTACCTCATAAATAATAAGCTATTCAGCTGTGATAGCGTGGAAAGAAAGAAAAAGGAAAGAAAAGAAAAAGGAAAGAAAAGAAAAAGGAAAGAAAAAGAAAAAAGAAAGAAAGAAAAAAAAAGAAAGTAAAAGAACGAAAGAAAAAAAAGAAAGTAAAAGAAAGAAAAAAAAGAAAGTAAAAGAAAGAAAGAAAAAAAAGAAAGTAAAAGAAAGAAAGAAAAAAAAGAAAGAAAAAAAAAGAAAGAAAAAAAAGAAAGAAAAAAGAAAGAAAAAAAAAAGAAAGAAAGAAAAAGAAAAAAAAAGAAAGAAAGAAAAAGGAAAAAAGAAAGAAAGAAAAAGGAAGAAAAAAAAGAAAGAAAGAAAAAAAAAGAAAGAAAAGAAAAAAAGAAAAAAGAAAGAAAGAAAAAAAAGAAAGAAAGAAAAAAGAAAAAAAAAAAAAAAAAGAAAGTAAAAAAAAAAAAGAAAAAAAGAAAGTAAAAAGAAAGAAAAAAAAAAAGAAAGAAAAGAAAGAAAAAAAAAAGAAAGAAAAAAGAAAGAAAAAAAAGAAAGAAAAAGAAAGAAAGAAAAAAAAGAAAAAAAAAGAAAGAAAAAAAAAAAAGAAAGAAAAAAGAAAGAAAAAAGAAAGAAAGAAAAAAAGAAAGAAAGAAAGAAAAGAAAAGACGTTTTTAACGTCTCCTGCCAATAACTTATGAATAATGAACTATTCCATTTTAATTGCGTAGGAAAACAAAACATATTAGAGTCACTACTTGGAAAATAGAAAAGGAAAATAGATATGTTTAACGAACGTTTCAGTGAAATGGGGAAAAAAACTGTCAATTTCAAACCTTTTTATTTGTACATCTTACTTCTTAAAAACGGGCCAGTATTTCTTTTTATGATTGTTATTACAATATTTTAATAAAACTGTTAAGCTAAAGATGCGATAGGGTAAGTTCTACGGATATTTTATTGTCATAGAACTCGCCATGAGTTTATTCAATCATTAACTTAAGAATTAAGATTCACCCGAAAATTCAAATAGGAAAAGAAATTTTCACGAGTATTTCTCGTTTTGTATTAATATGTTCCGACTAAAACCTCCTGCTGACTCTATTCGTCCGTACTGGTCTGACCATTTCTTTCCGAATTTCTAAGAAGAAAAATTGTCAATATTATACATTGATCTATTGAGACAAATGTATAGCAATTTCTTTCTGTATTTCCGCTTCTGAACGATTGAAAACATGAAGCAGTTATTAGGGTTATTCCTAAACTTAACTATAAGTATGCAAGTGGTTTTCATGTTAAATGTTCAGAGTGCCCTATCCTTTCTAGCTTACAACAACATTACGTTGAAACGCGGGCCACCGTACGATCACCGAAGTTAAGGAACATCAAGCTTGGTCAGTACCATGATGAGTGACCACTTTGGAATTCTAGGTTGGTTGTGTAAAGGATATTGATTCAAGTTCCAATTCCAGTCGGGTTCGTTATATTTACATACGTGCATACTCTCTACCTCTTCTCCTCCATCTATGGGTTAATTAGTAAGACTTGTGTCACTAAACCATTATTATTTCCAAAAATAAAATAAAGTTGTATACAAAAATGTTTAGATTTCAGCATTAAATAACCCATTCTTTAGTTCCACTAGTTCAGACCTTTACATCTTGGATACTCCATGCTACTTCCACGAAGGCGAATCATCCTCGTTTTCCCCCGTGTTTCAAACGTAAGAAAGAAGTCCAACTTCGACAGATTTCTCCCAAGAACTGTCAGTTTGTGGAACGAACTCCTGTTTAGGTGCTTTCTTGAACACTTTAATCTTGACCTCTTCAAGACTGTATATTTCTTATCTTCATAACTTTCACTTCCTACCACCTTCACTTTCACTCATTTCACACACAACATTCATCGTTGCCACTTCGACTAACTTGTAATGGGTAAAATTTAGCCAAGGAAAAAACGATTTGACTGTTATTTATCGAGCTTTCCTCTTTAATACCAAGACTTCACGAATTTAAGCGCAATACTAAATTAGCAGTTAGGTCTCATAATTTCACTGTAGAAATTCTTGGCTTTAACGGTAAGTTCTATGTTAACAGTTTCTTCTGTCAATCATCATCATCTGTCTCCTTGAATTCTGTTCTTTTATTGTCCTCTCTGTTTCTTTCACTCTCAGTAACACTTGTGGCTTTTATTACCTTAGTTGGGGTGAAATGATTAAAAAGAAAGACACAGTCCTAGAGGAAGACAATGGCTTCAGTGAAACAATTGACTAAATTGAATAAACTTAATTGACTAAAACAATGATGCACTCTCATCACAATAATTTAACAATTATACCTCAGACTACATTGAACAGTCGAGTCACAATAATTGAACTATTGGTACTACTTTATCTACTGTTAATTTTTAATTAGGTTGAATATTAATTGCTTATTGAAGGCGGATCTAGCACAGGCGGGGTTATTTTATTTAAATTATTATGTGTTATTCTTAGATCTTCTTTGAGAACATTCTACGCCAGTGTTATTATCAGTACTGTACGTGTGTTTACTAATTCCATTTAATCAACTGCTTAATTCAAGTCGTTTTTCTTCCTCCAGGACCGTGTGAATGGTCAAGTCAATAAAAAAAAGCAAACGAAATTTACCATGTACTTCCATTGACGTCTTTCTCTCCGAAGGCACTGTACGAACTATCTGAATGACGGAACTTCAATTCATTTCTGTAGCCTGAAATTATAATTATATATTCAATTAAATAAAAACTGTAGCAAGTCAATATTTAATGTCAGTGAAAAAAAATAGAACCCCCCCCCCCCCAAAAAAAAACCCAGAGTACTTGGAACTTGTCGACATCTAAGCTACTGATATTTTTGCTCGGAACTATGGAGTCTGTCAGTGTTGCTATTGCTGCTTTCTTGATCTCTGTCCCTTCACCTCTTCCTCAGAATGGTACAAAAAGCAGCTTTTTAAAGGGTCGTACATGGTCGTAACTGGATCGACAACAGTCATTTATTTTATAATATAAAACACAGTGCGTCTCTATATCTTTATTAGTCAACCAACTTGGTCCTCTCTTCTTAGTAATAAAATATACCGTTGTTTTGGCAACAAAAGACATTACTCGACGGCAATAAGATAAACACTTGGGGGCAAAGAAGATAAACACTTGGGGGCAAAGAAGATAAACACTTGGGGGCAAAGAAGATAAACACTTGGGGGCAAAGAAGATAAACACTTGGGGGCAAAGAAGATAAACACTTGGGGGCAAAGAAGATAAACACTTGGGGGCAAAGAAGAAAGTGTTGTCTGGATCTCCAGACACTGGGCTAGTTTTTCAGTTATTCGATCGAAGGCAAATGTCCTCACCCACAAAAATGATTTTGCATTCTATCAGGGCTAGAAATTTAGGATTTCCCAGATATGGCAGGAATACTCCATTTATGAACTGACAGTTTCAACGCCTTTTCTAATCTTATTTTTCGGTGCCATAATGAAAGTGTTGGCCCTCCAGCTATCTTTCATTAGAAGACAAAATACGACAAACATTTGCCTTGATTTATTACACAAATCTTAATGTAAACTTACTTTATCGTTGGGTATTTGCTGTATATATAAGATTGCATACCTGGAACCACTCGCCTTAGTGCAGTGTGAAAATACAGTCTGTTGGAAATGTCTCTGGTCACCAATGTAGAAACTTTTAAGGAGTCGTATCACGCCCAACGACTTCGGTGATAGAAATCTGGAGTTGTCGGCACCCGCTAGAATTTCTCCTTATTCTCTTTCTCTCCTCTGCTGGCGGTGACGGAGATGGCTGTGAAGGCCCAGCCGGCTCCTGAAAAGTCGTGAGCAGGAGTCAGAGGAGTGTGAGTGGTGGACACGGCTGGGTGAGTCGGACTCTCCTGACAGCATGTCGCAGATCCTCTTCATGTTGACGATTGGAATCGAAAGATTCGATCCTCGCCTCAGGAAGGTCGATTTTCAGCGACGGTTTCTTAGGTCTTAGGATCAATGTTGGCCTGTGTCAGGGATATCTTCAATTGATCCTTGAAGCGTCGTTTTGCGCCTCTGTGTATCCTCTTCCCGAGTTCTCCAAACGGGATCATACGTCGAAGTCGACACAGGAAAATACTGAGCGTACGAGGAAGTAGCTAACGTTCATTTCGCCTATTACTGTAACAACAGAATATCTCATTATCAAGTAGGGGAGATAAGGCTGCAAATAAAGTGCATTTTCAAATTTTGTTTAGTATTGAGTGTTTTGGAGATATTTGGAGATAGTTTTAATGACAAATTATGTCAGGTAACTTTAAGAGTGCTAATGGTACATGTAACTCATTACTACCTGCTGTCTGGACGGTTAATCAGCGACTAAACTGGTTTTGAGATTGACTTGATACCAAACAGGATTAAAAACAAAACCAGTCTACTGGAGTAGACTGGACTCCATAGCTATGTATGTATCGTTGGGCGGTAGGCTTCCTAGACTGAAATCAAAGACTAGGGTAGAAGGTACCCCGATATAATCTTTACCAAAGCGAGTTTTCAAGTTGGAGGACATCGTCTGTGGTATGACCTGGAGTAGGATGAGCTCCATTAGGTCTACTCACCACGCATGAATGAATGCCCCTCTGACCTTTAACCCACATTTGTGAAGGAGATTGGTCAATACTCAGTTGCGTAGCAACCCTAAGACCCCACTAAAGCATGGGACTGACGATGATAATGAATGACTGAAAAACAGAAATAACTGTTATATTCGCATGCAAAGTTAATTGTTTGGATAAAAATCTTACATTACCTTATTTCGAAAAGGCTATTTAAAAATTATTCAATTATACCTGTTATTTTGTTTACGGTGGGGGTAAATTAGTTTACACGCGGTACACAGATCACTGAACCGGTTAGAAAAATTTAAAGCTAGATGCAATGTTAGGTTTTGAAAACGCAGCAAAGACTAATGGGGACACAGAATATCGTTGGAAATTTCAAGGTGATTTGTAAACGTGAAAAGGTTTCTGCGCTTTTAAGAATAGATTTAAGAATGAAGATGTTTGGTAACCTGGTCAGATTTGGCGAAATGAATATTTCTACACATACGCTGTACAGCTTCTTGACCTGGCTCCATGTGTAAAAGAAATGTTGCTATTTGTTTCTCGTAGGTATACTATATTTAAACTATTATGAGCTTAACAATTTCTTACAAGTTTGAGTTACTGCGATGTGATGTAATGGTTAGCAAGTTTATCCCGCTAGATTAATTACGACTGACTAGTGAGTTCGATCCTCACTGGGTGCTCCATACTTGTGACTTTATGTCATATCTAGGATACGCTTAGTAAATCACAAGGTTCTATTGAGTAGATTCATAAGTAGTTTCCACTTTTAAAAACCGGACGAATGTATCATACTAACTACTAATCATAAGTGTCAGTTAAGCATAAATCTGGTGTAGGTTAACATAACTTATGTCAGGGTCAGGAGATATATATATATCTTTTTAATTTGTTCATATCTATATTTATCTATCGCTTTCATTGGTTCATATTTATTTTAAAATTTCTTCATATCTATATATCTATTTTTATTTTTCATATCTTTTTAATTTCTTCATGTTTATCTTTTTCATTTATTCATATCTATCTATCTATCTATCTATCTATCTATCTATCTATCTATCTATCTATCTATCTCTGTTCATGTCTACTAAGTTGATTCACATCGTTTTATCTATCTCTGTTCATGTCTACTAAGGGGCATTATTGTACGTGTAATTGTGTCATCAGTGAAGTACTAAATGTTCAGTACGTGGTTTTGAAACTAAATTTATATTAAGAAGAATAAGTGAATGCTGGAGAATCTCCTCACAGTTTTATCTGGAAAATCAATTGTGAGCAATAGTTAAGAAAATGGAAACAAAAGGAAATAAAACATCAAAAGAGGATACCCAGTGAGGAAAGAGGGCTTGGAAATTTTGATACTTACAAGGAGATTCAAGGCAAAGAAAAATAACGTATAATTTACCTAACGAACTGGATGGCAGAACCAAAAGATAAAATTCATTAAGAGATACAAAAGAACTGGCCATGATCACCAAGGTCCTATTACGTATTATTTTTCACTTTCGAATCAAAAATGCCATTAATTTGGGGTTTATTTTCCTGTCCCGAGTTTGCTTTTTTTTTTCTTTAGATAATTGGAAAATCTATTCTGCACCCTATCAAGTGCAATACTGGGATCGAATTCACCCCTGATTAAAATCGACTGTTAGAATCCGCTAAATTCTTTAATAAACGTCTCAGCGCGCTTTTACAAGTCTTTACCACATCTAATATAAACTCGACGAGCCGAGTCCAAATTCCTGGCTAGTCTATTACGTTCACTTTCGAATAAATGCCTTTGGGGTTTATGAATTGGTCTATTCTCCTATCAGCGATCGGTTAAATATCCGAGTCGACTGGATTCTTTAGACTTGGATTATAACAAGTCTATGAGAATGATAGTTATGAATTCAAAACCGTGTAGAAAGCAATGGGAAATCACACCATTATGTTTTCGAATAATACATGAAAATTCACAGATAATAAAGAAAGGAATCTATGGAGAGTCATAATCACCTTCATTTATAAAGAATATAATATGGAAAAAAAACAAAAAAACATATAGTTATGTAAAGTAGGTCGAAGCTTTATAGCTCGTTAACCTTTATTCATTGCAGTTCAATGTAATTGTTTCTAGCCTTTCTTTATCTGTATCGCTTCCAGGTTAGATTTCAGTTTGTCTTTCTACCTCAGTCACGGATTCTCGACGTTTCTTTTTTGTCTATCGTCGAGCAGAGACATGAGAATCTTTGGAATTCTATTGTTACTCATTCTGACGACATGACCATTCCGCTTTAATCTGGAATTGTGGTGGGAAAGAATTCAGTGCCACCAATTTTATATTTAGAGAATAGATCAATATGTAAAATTCTGTCGTGTCAATTGCGTCCACAAATGGTCCGAAGACATCAAACTGGTCAATATCTAAAGGATAGAGGAGCCATGATATCGATCCGTACAGGAGAGTAGAGAAGACTGCAGATTGGTAAACATTTGTTTCTAGTGAGATTGCCCGTTTATCCCAAAGATGATGTAGCTTAAAAATTTGCATTTATGAAAACTGAGACAAGCCTTTAAGTGCAAACTACAGTCTCTATTAATGGATATAAGTGATGGCCACAAAGAGTACCAAACTATGTCATACCTGCCCTCCTTAATGACAGAAAATGATAGACAATTCCATCACATATGAAGAAGAGAAGGAAGGCAATAAAAATGTGGCTCTACAGAAGGATGTTGCGAATATCAAGAACGGAACATGCGAACAACAAAGTTTTAAAGAAAATATGAACTAGAAGGATACTTTTCAAATTTACATTTCACTCCAATCAAGGCGATGCTGCCACTAAGACGCAAGGGGTTACTGGAAATGAATGAGAATTAGAAGACTAGTGAGGAAAAAGAATAATAAAACAGGTTTCAGGAAGACATTGAGGATACATTTAAATTTTTGAAGATTGCAGGCAGCGGGGAAGTAAGGAACGGGAAAAGAGTTCCACAGGCGAGAAGTGCAAGAAAAGAAACCATTAGAATAGAAATTACCGTTACATATAACTATTTCAGCAGTAAAATTTCGTGATCTAATTACAAATCTAGTAGTAAACTTAAATTCACGCAGTCGAGGTACCAAGGAGGCGGGCTCATTAGAACAATTGCGATGAATATATTTATAGAAAAGACACAGGGAAGCCACATCACGACGATGGGAAAGTGACTGAAGTCGAGATGCCAAGTCAGGACTGATAACATTATAGACCGTTCTTTGTATTTTGTCGAGAATCTAAAATTATATAGCAGAGGTACCAAACCAGATATGGCAGTACTATTCAATTCACGGGCGAATGGTAGATTTATAAACATGCAAGATGTTATTCTGTCGAGAATATAATTATCTGGGACGACAGAATTTTCTTAGTAGAAAATACTTAAAATCAGAAAGATATAGGAAATTAATAGCTTCATTTAACGCAAGGAAAGTTGGTTCTCTGTGTCGCGCCAGAAAGTTTTTCTCATCCGAGTCCATCCCTCAAATCTATAAATCAACCATTCGCCCTTGCATGGAATATTGCTGTCATATATGGTCCGGAGCCACCTCCTATTCATCTTAAGGTCTTCGACAAAATCCAGAGACGGATATGCAATATGATTATCCCTGATCTGGCATCTCGTTTACAGTCTCTCTCTCACAGACGTGTCGTCGCTTCCCTCTGTCTGTTTCTACAAATACTTTCACGGTAACTGCTCCGATGAGCTACTTTCTTTGGTTCCCAAACTGCATGAATCTAAACGTGCTACGAGGTTGGCATCTCAGTTCCATTCTTTCACTGTTGAAACGGTTTGATGTACTCCAATGGCTTCATGTTTCGTACTACCCGTCTGTGGAACTCCCTTCCTCTTAATTGCTTCCCTGATAGCTATAATTTTTAAATATTCAAAGGCAATGTCAATCGTCATCTCCAGATGCCTTGATTTATTCCCCGTCCTTCTCTTCATCCTTTCCTCCCTCACGCCTCTTTACTATTGTTCCACTCTCTGTAACCCCTTGCGTGCTAGTGGCACTCTCGCCATGCTTGGGGTGAAATGCTTAAAAAAATACGAAAAGAAGGCTTGGTGAATTCATCAATTATAGGTTGATGCTGGAAAGAAGAGAAGCAGTAAGAAACAGCAAGTAACCTGTCGAATTTGTCTGAGTGGATGACAAAATGAAGACTAAGATATCCGGTAAAGAACCAATGCTTGCTAAGAGCTACAAGTGACAGGCCGTTGTGGAGAGCTATGATCACCCATGTTCTGAGGGGTCACGGTACATATAAAAGTGTTTCAGCATGCCAATAGATAGATTGCGAATAAAGAGTAGTATTGGATTATTAGATTACGAAAAACAAGTGACACTTACCTCTTTTTGTGAATTTAATAATGTTCGCCTCTGTAGCTTGGTCCAGTAACTGACTATTTCTCAGGTAACCATATATATAAATATTGGGAGCAAAGTTAACCATGTTCTGCTCTCCACAACCGTATGGCATTCGCACCAAATTACCCAAGCCATTCAGTGATGGACCCATCACGTCACCTAAAATGAAAACAAAAAAAAAAAAACCACTTATTGTTCCATTAATAACAACTGATGTGTTTTTCGGCATTCCTCAATTATATATCGTATTCATCAGTTTCCATCGGGTATAAGACGTAGTACTATGTTCATTTTTTAGTTTAAAAGACACCTTTACAAAAAAAAAAATTAAAAATATAAAATTAAAAAATAAATTGCAATATGAATACAGGTAAAAATGGTTGCTGAAGACAACAGGTTTATAAGTCTTAGAAGTTCATACACAGATGTCATCAAAGACACAAAGCGCAGTGGATAGAGGTGTTAGTTAGATCCAGTGACAGTACCCAAAGAATGTGAGTTCAATACTTGGTTAAGGCGGTAGAAAACTTGGAGAAGAGAATTAACAGGAGATAACTGAAATGAATTAGACATGGCACATGGGATTAGAACAGTCTATCTCAGCCAGCGAAATAAAGGGTTCAGTTCGACATTCCAACCACCTGAAGAAGGCTGGAGCGTACAACGGCCGAAACGTTGTGATAAATATGGCAACAAAGATGAGGACTATAGTCTGAACAATGTAAATAGTGTGCATAATACCTCATCTCAGAAATATAAACAGATAATGAAAACTTTAAATATAAATTATTTTTTTAATTGAAAAGTTTAAAATTTCAATATTCTGACATTTTCAGTGTTTTCTGTCTGTACATAACTGTAATGTCTACTATGTCTCCTTCTAGTGGCAAATTGTTTTGATTGTCACTCATGTATTTTATCGTTCGGTGTAGTTGAGCCATTCACGGCTTTAACGATCAAACAAATGAGTGACAATCAAAACAACAAACTGAAGCAAACACTCAACAACGTATGCAGAAAAAGCAAGTGGAAATATGTTGGGAAGCCTAATTTAATAGAAAGTCTATCGGACATAAGTCTATCGGACAGTACCAAACGAGACGCTCTCGGTTTCGGTTTAAAATTTACCACCGGAAACCACAAATGAGACATAGCAGACATTATAATGAAAAAAAAAAACATGGAAATAAGTATAACCAATGCTTGCAGTTTTATATACCGCCTCCCTCCCCGACAAATATATATAATTCCATCCACAAAAACACTGATGAAGTCTAACACAGATTTTTTTTTCATTAATTTACTTAGCAATAGTATGTTTAGTTATATCATCCGTAAAATGATAGATAGAATTTCTTAAACAAAACTTTGAACTCATACTTAGGGCCACATCGGATATGCCCATCAAATATGGTGGTTAGACTCAAAAATAGGATTGGCATGTCGAGTTCAAATTTCAGCCGAAACCATTACGTCCGTTTTTACACATATATCCTGTGAATACCTATGTTCTCTCCACACCAGGTAAGTGTTAATAGCAGGTCTTGGCTCTCGAGTCTTTTGTGGCAACCAAAATTGGAGAAAAAAAAGACTGAATTCAAATACAGCCTGGTATCGTAAATATGGTGTCACGACTACACATCTTCTCCCCCTAGCTATTGGTTAATTAATAGAAACTTTTATCAGCAAATTATTATTATCCCCCTCCCAAATTCTTACAATCTAACAATAGAGTCTCACCTTAAATAATCTGCAAAAGGTTGATAGATCATAAAAAATAAATCAATCAATCGCTTATTTTTAAACAACCAAGTGTCTTCTTCCTGACTGAATTTCTGGGATGTTGAGCTATCATTATTTAAATTATTTACACGCAGACAATTGTTCTCATCCATGCTTTTGTTATTGCAACGTTTCGACCGTTTCATCCTCCGGTCTTCATCACCTTAACATCAAGAAACTGATTAGAGAACTAGAAATTATTATTTATAAAAAATAAGTAGACATAATAAGTCTATATTATTCAATGAAACACGTTTGAATGAAGACAAAGACTGCCCAACATTTGAATATTTTTTATTATGCTTAGATCGAGGAACAGCATAATAAAAATACATCCAAATGTTGGACAGTTTTTGTCTTTATTTTCTTCCGAAACTAAAGCCACTATACGAAGCTTAGAACGGCTCATGATCAAACATAATAGACATTCGCTGTCTGTTATATTTAACAATATATGTTTGAATATATATATATATATATATATATATATATATATATATATATATATATATATATATTTACCCGCTGCCCCACGCAGCAAGATGTGGCACAAGGCCGAGATTAAAGTGGGGTATCCGAGCCCATAGGATCGGGCAAAAATTTCCTACAGACCACGTAAAAACGGAATATTAAAAAAATGAATTCCAACGACCTCTTTTATTCTGGCCATCAATCTATTTGAAACTCGCGTGTAAGTATTTCGTAATTACAAAATAGTATAAAACGAACTTTTCAAAAGTTGCATTGATGTCGAAGTTTATTATCTTTAAGAAAAATATTACAATCTTACCAATAACTGACAATTCAATCCTCTCAGATCCATTCACAATATTGTGAGGGATTGGAATAATGAAGTTCTTTATAAAAGGTTCGTTTGGTGTTATGTTCAGCAGCATAGGATGATTGAAGAAAACAGTGTATCCCTCAGCCTGTGAAAAAATAAGGAAAAATAAAGATTTACTATTTGTATTGAACTGTCCGGAAAGTATTATCGTGTCCAAAATATACAAATCTAAAAGCAACAAAGAATTGGTTTAGAGAGCAAACAAGACTTTGATATCATCTCTTGTCATTTCAGGTTTGGAATGAGTGTAATGTCTTCAGTCAGAACAAGGTACGAAGTTAAGCAATATCAAACCTGATCAATGCCTCGATGGGTGGACGCTTGGAAATACCAGGAGCAGTAAGCTTGGATGTGAGGTTGGTGTAATGGGTAATGGCTCGGAATTGTTAATTGGAGTATAGAGTTCCAATTCTCGCTGGGTTCGTTATATTCACTTACTCGCAAATATCTTTGGAAAGCTATGAATCCACTTCTTCTTCCCCCTACATTTAATTAGCCCACTTGTGGTTTATATTGCACCTATGCTAAGTTGATTTGTGATTTCGTACAAGCATAAGCATCAACAGCTTCTAAACGGTTTCGTCTAGTCAATCTCCATCACAAGGCTTGGGTCAACCCGCAATATTGTTTTCAGGCACTTTCAAAGGTCAATGGCATCAAGAAGCAACCACCATGAGAAATCGACCATGGTAAAATTCGAACCCAGGTCTGATGGCCAGAAAGCGACTGTTCTAAACACTCGCAACGCACTTATCAAGATAGTTCTCGTCCTAGTTAGGATACGGGTAAATACGAATCCTAAACCTGTGTCATTACACAAATATATATAAATAACAAAGGTGTGCCTTTCTTATTATTTTGCAAAATATTTCTTTACTTACATCAACCAGTAGATTCCTCTGCACACCGTCACTGGCACGAGCACTGACGGCTTTAACACGAAGGGTGATTGTTCCAGTTTCATTTGCAAGAAGCCAAAAATCTACTCCAATGTCAGTATTATTTTTCACCTGAAAGAAAAAAAAATATTAACGGTTTAAATGTTTGATCATGAATAAAATCCATAAGAGTAATTATACTACGAAGGAGTATGCAAGTGGGGGGTGGGGGTGGGGGTAAAAATGAAGGTAGCAAAAAGAAAATGGCGAATAAGAAGAAGAAGAAGAGGAAGAAGAAAAATGAAATGTAGAAGGAACAGACGAGAGTGGGCAAAAAGACGGACAATAATAATAATAATAATAATAATAATAATAATGATAGTGATAAGAAAAAGTCGTAGAAGGAACAGACGAGAGTAACCAAGAAGACGGTGAATAATAATCCAATTATAATTGCGTTTGTCCCTCCTTTCGTTAGTTCGCACGACCTTTACGCTCTGCGAATACCTCATAAATAATAGACAATCCCGTTTTGATCATCTGGAAAAGACACTACTTGGTTTCAGTGAGAAAAGAAGAGAAAAAGAAAGAAAGCAGGGACGATATAAGTGGGAAGAGATAATCAGATTAAGGTGATAAGAACAGATACTACACTTCGATCTTAGCCAAAAGGCCAAGAAGAAATTGTATCTTCTAGCCACCTCACACTGGCACGATGTGACAAAAGATCAGTTTAATATGAGGAGACTGACGTATGCATACGAGCCAGCTTAAAAAATAACCCAATTCTTGCAACCTACGGTTGCGCTGGCTTCGGTAATACTACCGAACCTCCCTCTTTAGTGCAATGAGGGAGGCACTGCCACGGGCAGCTATTCACCGTGACCGGACAGTTCTCAATTACATTATTTTCAGTTCCGCACACAGCAACACAACTAAGAGATGAAATGTAGTTTATCCTCCTGATGGAAGATACTACACTTTGATACCAGTGAAAAGGCGGAGAAGCAATGTTTATTTAAATAGTATATAAAAAATACAGTATTTTGTGGCATAAGACCGAAGGGGAAGTGGGGAGAGGCTGGTCTACACTAGATAATCCGACTGGCGGCCATTCACTCGAACAATTACCTCAATCATCAGAAGAGAATATCCTTCACCACTCAATCCAACATATACCGCAATACCACTTATTCTCTGGTGTTCTACTAAAACACCGACGATATACAAATGAAGTGAAGTGGGGGGAGATGTTTCCTATAATCAGAATAAAAGAAACCAAAGTATTTAAATAAAAGTAAAATTGTGACAGTATGACCCGTCCAACCCACAAAAATAAGTTCCGTCGCTAGAAGCAGGGGAGAGAGAAAATAAATTTAGGAATGAGGAAATATTAAAGGACTGGCCCCGTCAAGATAAATATTGGATAACAAAAACCAAAGAGCTTGGAAATCTTGTCAAGGACCATAACAAAAAAATGGGGCTGGTTCAGGACGGGCACGACAGTCACTTAAATTAACTAGGAAAATGTTGTAGCTTACTTACGGATGATAATGTATATGTCTCCATTCACATAAATACAGTAGTAAATACTGTATGTTGGTCTACAGTTGGAGTTTCATTGTGGAATTCACTTAACTCACTTCTATCAGTTGACTACTTCTTATACGCGTCGCTGGCGAATTTTATGTGTGTTGTTTGTGTGCTAAGTACTATCATTCATTACCAACCTTCCTGTGATTATTTTATTCAGTAACCTTCCCTAGGTTACAACAGAAAAAAGAGATTAGCTTAACTAGAGATGAGGTCTATCAGTAAACCGTCCCGTTGTGACATTAGGGAACTAAAGAAAGAAATCAAGATTGGTTCGATCCACGTGAACCGGGCTTGCAATTTGCACCCACCTTTTGCTGAAATCTGAAAAAACAAACAAACAAAAAAAACACGCCTCCTATCAGTTCTGATATTCATACTGAGCTGATGCCGAAAGAATCCAATCAGTTCGTTTTGTAAGATTACCTCCGTTCGCGTCACCCACACCACCATTCCTGCCACGGCTAGCCAGCGCGAAAAACACCAATCATTTCACCCGGACCACTGGGGCGACACATTGTCGTACACGTACGCGAGATCAATGGACACGAGATGTTTGGGATAGATAGATGGCTTCAATTCGCGGACGTGTTCCCAGAACGGACGCACCAACGGGACAATAGTAGGTGTGCGTAACCGTTTACTCTAATCTAAGATCACAGTAGTGATAATTGGACATTTCTGCCAGGCCCGCCTTTAAACATTTTTCATTGAGAGGCAGCACGTTCCGGTTCAATAGCCAGATAAGCAAAAATATAAGGTTGATGAGGTAATCTGCCGCCGACGCCCAAGACCAGAAAGAGCGCAACTCGCTTTCCGACAAGCCGAGCCGCTCAGTGAGCTGGATGTCGCGATCACTTCCATTAATTGCCGATACAATGCCCTCCTAGATTATGAAAGGTCACTAGACGGAGAAGTATCCCACAGACGTCTGAGAGATATACGTGTGCGTAAGGAAAGTGGGTTGGAAATTTAAGGAAGAGGTAATAAATATCCATATAAGATGTTGCGGCCATAGAGTGTTTTTTTTTCTCGTGCTGAAGCCGTTAATGTCTGCTGGATTTGAGATTACCACCCCCACCACCACCTCCGAGTATATCCCAGATTTTTTTATTTATTAGTTCGTATACAGCATTGTAATTGTTTTGTTGTAAGTTATGAATGGAAACGTTATAGGATCCTTTGATATTATGCTTGACGATAATGACAGTGCAATTGTTGAAAGTTATGAATGGAAACATTATAAGGTCCTTTTATATAATCACTTTATATAGTGTGCGCCAAACCCTTTTTTTTTATAGATATTTGAATTTGTGAGAAATATAATTTTATTTGAGGTGATATTAGTGGTGAGGAAGGTGAAAAATTCCACCAGAACATTAAATGTATGGAAGAACTGTATCAAAGAAGATGGTACCAAAGACTGATGGCTGACAAACGCTGGAATTTAAAATAGGACAAATCTACTCAGTATTCACGAAAACCAAACACGTTCTTACCATGAATGCAATTTACCTTCATTGTTCGAATTTTAAGCACTTGTTCTGTTATATTTTTCGTATTTCAGAAGTTGTATTTTATTTCACGTATAATTTATATTTAAGCTTGTAATGATTTTTTTCTTCACATTTACAATGACTTAACCCAATCATGACCATTTTTACGTAGGCGTAGGCGAATTCTGGAGCGGGAAAACTAATGATAATGGTACAAAATAGGTGTTCTTTTTGTTTTTATTCATCACTCCCAAAACTTTCAACATTATCTGAAAGCTAAAACATGACATGCAACATTATAAAAAAAGAATTTTAATCGTATTTTTATCGCTAATAATTACCTCAACAAACTTGGTGATGTTGCTTTTCATCTCTTGGTCTCCGTCATAAACTTTGTAGTACTTGGATGGTTCTAAAATCACTTGAACCTACGGGAATAAAAATAATAATTGATAGATCAACTTATTATTATTATAATATTATTATTATTGTTGTGACCAAGTAAATGGTTAAAGAAATAACAAAACAATTGCTGCAGATATATTATATATTAAACAGTAAGTACAACAGAAGAGTATTACACGACTGGTGAGTGTGTGTCGGTTGACAAACGTTCAATCTATTCGAATGTTAATATTTAGCAACCCCCACGAAGGTAGATGTGGCACAAAGCAGAGTTTAACGTGGGTCATCCGAGCCCGTAGGCTCGGCCAAAACTTCCCGTAGAACCCGCATAAACGGGTTCGGATTTGTCTACCTCCCCGAGACTCTGCCCTTCAGCACAGCCATGTCCGGGTACTTCTCTGCACAAAGGCAGAGAGTTCGACAGCAGCAGCGAAAAGTCACAGCCTCGGTAGAAAAATCTATTCGACTGTTAATATTTAACAGCCCCCACCACTACCACGAGGAATGTATGTGACACAAGGCCGAGTTTGCCGTGGGTTCTCCGAGCCCGTAGGCTCGGCCAAAAATATTCCCTTAGAACCCATATAAACGGGTTCAGGGTCGGAACCACTGGACCCCACTGGTACCCCACTGGACGAAACTTTGCCCTTCGGCAAAGCCTCGTTTGGGTTCCTCTCTGCTCAAAGCAGAGAGTTTTACAATTATGAACAGTCTGGTCGACTGTTCCCCAAGGCCTTCTCTCCTACTAATATAGTAGGCGGAAGAACCCAACATAAACTTTTTAAAACAATTATTATTCTGTCAAATGAACGGTACTCAAATACACTGTTAAAGAATTACGATGCAAACATTACTTTGAGCTGACAGTCACCATGCAATATTGTTTCCTATGTCCATACACTCTCTGTTTCGTTCTCTCAAATTCAAAATAAAATAAAAAAATTCGAAAGTATTTACCTCTGATTGCAGACTTTGCATTAAACACTAGACTTGATTATGAAATTTCACCGACTACACAAGAGCAAATTAAACAAGTAAAATCTGGACTTCTAGTTGTAAAACAAGGGAGTTAATTTATATATTTAAAAATTGTTCATATATATCGTTTATTAGCAAAGGGTACGTCCATAAAACTTTTAACATTTTTTAATCACCTGTAGAAGATTCCAAGAATGTGTTGACAGGGATGGGAAACCGGTGGACACTGTTTGAATTCTATTTCTCTAATATAGGTATTTTATATATATATATATATATATATATATATATATATATATATATATATCTTATCAAAAATATAAAATCTACGCCCTGCATCTATTTAAATACTTCCATTCCTGAAAGAATTACTACTACTTTCCCAATCCAAAATACATGACTATAATAATGTTAAAAAACTAAAAGAAAATAGTTAAATTCATAAGCTCTTTTTATTTAAAATATATAACACATAAACCTTAATAATTTAGATATTAATTTGCATAAATTCGTTTATTAGACATTAAATTATGTTATTTAGTATGCCCTATAACTTACCTAGACTTTTCAGCTAACTCGATGAATACTCATTAGTGTTTCTCAAATTAAAAAAAGATGTGAAAAACTAACATTCTTGCTCTTGCCTATAAATATTTGTTACAAAATAAAATCCTTGAATTTGCCTTGATAAAGTCCCTCAGAGGACGAAACGTGTCGGCTAAGATAAGTTTTCGTTTTGTCTTTATTTATATTGTCCTTTAACATATATATTCTATATGAAAAATTTACACCACCATATACTACCCACAAAACAACCCCCGCCCCACTCAACACACACACACACACACATGTATATAGATATGTATATAAAGCGGATTATAATTTTAATAATTTTTTCGTCATGTGTATAATTATATATATAAGATATATATTTAAGATGCAGTCGTGGCTTAATTCTCTATGTTTATTTGTGATAGGTTTCTCTATACGTGCGTGAATTGCACCAAATATTGACAAATAACAAGTCAGACTACGAGAGAGTGTGGTGCATATGTGGCCAATGTAAATTACAAATAAACATAGAGAATTAAGCAACATAAAACAAAAACTTACCAACAATCATTTTCCAAACCGTATTGATGAAAAAATAATATTAGCTTCAAAGATATTTAGAAAAGGTAATATAAGTAACCCACTTAGTATAAAGAAAAAGTAAAGACATCATTGAATTGTTATCTATCTATCTATCTATCTATCTAGATAGATAGATAGATAGATAGATACATACATACATACATACATACATACATACATACATACATAGATTAAAAAATAATACTTTTTTTCATCTATGGTCATAGCTATTCTGTTATTCAAAACATCACGAGAAAGAGAGGGGAGTTTGCCAACCTTAGCTTATCGAATTACAAGGTAAGGTGCGGGGGTGGATTGAGTAAGCGAGACTGTATAGCGTCAGTATTCTAAGTAAGCGATACTTACCTTGAAAAACAGTATCTGAAATCTTTGTTCAGCAGGACTCAAAAGTGAAAAGTATATAATTCAGTAACAAATCAGTGAATGTTAGTGTGCGTGTGTGTTTACGCACGTGCATGTGAGTGCATGCGTGTGAATCCCTGTGTGCGTGATTATATGTATGTATATACGTGTGTGATTACATGCGTGTGTGACGGTATGTATGATAATGTGTGTTATGCGTGTATATGAGTGTGTGATAATGTGAGTGCATGTGAATATGTGTGTGTATCATTGTGTGCATGGGATTATGCATATACATGATTGTACATGTGAGTGTGTGTTATTACGCACGTATGTGTGCGTGTGTTATTGCTTGTGTGTGTGCCTTTGTGTGCCTGTGATTATGCTTGTGTGTGTACGTGTTTCTGAAATTTAGTTACCTCTTCTGTTGTGTTCAAATAATTGAAGATGCCGACTCTGAGCTTGAACTTCTCATTTCTAATAACTGAGTAAGGCAGATCCAAAGAAATGTAAAAATTCTGAAATGTTCGCAACTGAAACGAAAAAAGAAGCCAATATATTTAAAATGTTTTTTGGTTGGTTTAATCATCTGCGAAAACATTGGCATTGAATACGTTGGATTACATATATTTTGCTGCAAACCAACTTATAATTACTCTTTGCTAATTTCGGAATGCTGAATCTTAAGATTACGTTCGTTTTTCTGTGAAAAATCCACATTTTGCTATACTGAACTTGAACGCTTTTAAAGTGACCATTCATAGAAAGATTTCTCAAATTAATTTTAAATTCCTCCAAATTTCCTACAAGCAACCATGAATGTTATTGAAATCCTATATGCTCACACACATGGTATTTATATTAGGATAGCGCATAAAAATAATGACAGTGTAACTGTATTGTTCTTTGTTATGAATGGAAACATTATAAAATATTTCGATATAAAGCATGGTGATAATGACAATGTAATTGTATTGTTCTGTGATATGAATAGAAACATTATAAAGTCTTTCGATATAATGCCTGATGATAATGACAATGTAATTGTATGTTCTGTGATATGAATAGAAACATTATAAAGTTTTCGATATAATGCCTGATGATAATGACAATGTAATTGTATTGTTCTGTGATATGAATAGAAACATTATAAAGTCTTTTGATATAATGCCTGATGATAATGACAATGTAATTGTATTGTTCTGTGATATGAATAGAAATATTATAAAGTCCTTCGATATAATACCTGATGATAATGACAATGTAATTGTATTGTTCTGTGATATGAATAGAAACATTATAAAGTCTTTTGATATAATGCCTGATGATAATGACAATGTAATTGTATTGTTCTGTGATATGAATAGAAACATTATAAAGTCCTTCGATATAATGCCTGATGATAATGACAATGTAGCTGGCGGTGGAGAGCCACCCTTTAGTTGATTTCGATGGTTGCCGCAGAGAAACGTGGTTGACCCAGCTGCGCCTAGGATGTGCCCTAGAGCAGGTCGATTTTGGAATTGTCAATTTTAAATTTGGGCTCTGACATGATAAATAATGACATAATATTTTTCCCAAATTATTACCATTTTTTGATGAAATGGGTAAAGGTTAAGCTTAGGTTCAAAATCATAGCGTTAGAACTTCATTCCGGTGATCAGTGAAAGCCTTATAGCACAACCTTATAAAATTTATAATTTCCTGAAGCTTTACAAATTTTATATGGACACAAGCACATTATTACTAAATCAGAGTGCCATCAAATAAGACTTATTTATTTCCAAGTGAAATTATACTGAACAATTTAGCTGTACAATGATGTAATATATAATAATATATGTAATTATACAGCGCAGTAGTCTTAGTGATTTTCAATAAAAAATACAAATTTAAAAGATTTTGTTTCATAATTTGTGTCTAGCAGTATTACATACACTGTTATCTATTTTTTTGTTTTTATTATGATCTAACAAATGATTTAACAAATCTTCTTCATTGAGTAGCCTTTTTGTAATCTTATACAAGATTTTACACAGTTTTTACTTGTCGAATACAGTAAAAAAATGCATATTTTGCTTGTGGAGATTCATAATTAGAATTCTGATTTGAATCTATTTTCAATTCTATGTATCTAATACAAAATATATCAACTTTATTTAGGTTTATTCTTCAAATAACAAAATTTTGAAGTCAGTTTGTAAGCAAAAAACCTGCGGATATTAGGTATTTCTGTATATATTTTTCATGTGATGTTTAAGACTAAATGCTCCAAAATTGGTAAAAGATATAAATCTAATTTTTAGTGTCAGTACTTATCGCTTCGGATTCCAGAGTGCAATAAAGATTTTCTGAGGAAAGTAAAAAATCAGCCTGCCGTGCGGGCGTGGGGAAAACTATATGATATGCAGATATATAAATGCCTACCTGGGAGAGAAAGGACAGTCTCTTGCATCCATAGGATATTGAAGAGAGTGTCCTCACATCCAGATAAAATTTATGAGAAATTAAATCCCTTGATTTCTTTACTAATGTACAAAGATAAGGTTACATTTGAAAAAGACTGAATATTATTATTCTTTGTGTGCCGTATCTCTTCATGACGTTGTCGATCATGGCTCTCGACAATTCCCTGTCCTTTGTAGCTCTTAATAAATTTTGTATTTTTGTTATTTCTCCTGAACACTATTCTACCTTCCATTTAATAAGTTTGTTATGCGTTGTTCTTCTCTTGCCTTCAATCTGTCCTATGAATATCGTATTTTCTAAGCCCTCTTTCCTCATTATGTGCTCTAGAAATTTCAACTTTGTCTTCCTCATGTCACGGTGATTTTCTAAGTGTAGCTTATGTGTGGCACAAAGCCAGAAGTTTCGGCCTCCCAGTGAGGAACGAACTCACTAGTCCTGATGTTAAATATAAGCTTCCTTTTGTTTCCATTTCTTTTAAAACTTCGTCGTTTCTGACATGTTCTATCCGTGGTACGCTCGGCATCTTTCTGTAGAACCACATTTCTGTTGCTTCAAGTCTCTTCTTCATCTTTGAGGAGATTGTCCTACATTCACTACCATATCACGTAACAGTTCAGTACTCTTTTCTTTGTTTCTAATGAAGTTTTTTTTCTGTTTCTTGATACTCTGCTTAGCATTTGGAATGCATCTTTGACCGTCTCAATGCGCCTTCGGATTTCAATGTCGTACCTTCACAGATAACAAAAAATGAAAAAAGCACAGTTCAAGTTTCATAAAGGAGGAAGCGTTTCGCCAGCTCTAGTAGTTTGCCCGGGTTATTTCTAGAAGGAATCAACCCTCACTTGAAACTCTTCTCTTTGCCCATTTTAAAAGTCTGGTAGCAGCCATTCTGCATTGCTGTTGAAGCACAAAAATAAACAAGAATGATTTCTACAATTGTTTTCTGTTATCTGATTTTCGACAACATAATCACTTTTCAATGACGTCACTTTTTCTGCCACCAGCCACATTGATCACACGAGAAGCTAAATCTAAACCCCAACCAGATGTTCGTTCAATGGGACAAATTCTGGTTTTAGTCAAAACGGAATGGTTGTACATACAAAGAGAATCATATAATTGAATTACATGAATGACAACGTGAAATATTTTGTACTTGTTAATTTTAACTACTCACGTAAACTGGTTCTCTCATAATACCCAGTCCATCAATTGGGTGAATAGAGAAAGCCGTGGTAACCCATGTAGTGATTGTTCCAGGGGCAACCCGGTTGATTGTTTCATATCCTTTAGGACTGAAAAAGATACAAAAAAAAATTAACTGATCAGAAGAAGAAAAATTAGTCATATTCAGAGTGTAGCGTTACAAAACTTGTATATACAGGGTGCGATGGATAAATTATCGTCTAAATTACGCAAAAAGGAAAATAACACTGATATCTCATTTTAACAGATATATTTACCAAAATGACACCAAAATATCTTGAAATAATAAAGAATAAATTTATTCAACAAAATCGCTATTGAATTCAGCTATTCTGGACGGTCTCGTTGTTTAAGTTGGTGAATGCTGCCATAATTCTTGCATTCAGTTCATCTTTGGTGTTACAAGGAACTTTGTTGGTATCTCGCTCAACTACGCCCCACACATAATACTCGAAGGAGTTGAAGCCTGGGGAGTTAGGTAGCCAGATGTAAAGGGTAATGTGGTTGCAGAAAATGCCTGAGAGCCGTGACAGGGCTCTCCTGCTTGTGTGGCATAGTGCAGAGTCCTGTTACTAGACATAGGGACTTCCAGAAGCCACCCTCTTGACCCAAGGGAGCACTCCCTCCTCAAGACACTTCGTGTTGAGTCTGAGGCCCTCAGCAACAAATTCAGGTGTTCTAAACTATTCAGAACGATCCGAGTGAGTTTTCCGAGCTGCCATATCTTCGTAAGCACTCATCTAACTATTTCAGAATCCTCTGCACTGTCCTCAAATTGACACCCAAACACTCTGAAATGTTCGTATTGGTGCTTCCGGTGCGAATTCCAAGGAGTAGAGTATGCCATTTCCAAATTTCTGGCGGAGTGAATTGCGTCATAGTGCCTTTTTTTCTCACAGACGGTGCCAAACTAAAACTGTTTAATGTTAAATATTACTTTGGATCAACCAAGAACAGATGGAAATCGCGTTTTTACCACCACAAAAACACACTGAGCAATATCAAATACAAAAAACTGCACACTGCTTTCAAAGTATGTTTGGCGATTGAAAATAACCATAAGAACCCAACCATTAGCTGGGAGATAATCGCGAAAGCTAAGCCATACAATGGAAAGGCAGGTAGATGTAATTTGTGTTTGTTGGAGAAGCTTATTATATTAAAACACTTAAATAAGACTAACATGCTGAACACGAGGTCAGAACTGATATCTGTTTGTATCCATAAATCCAAGCATCTTCTCAAACACACTGACTCCGATTAAAAAAGATTACAAAATAGATTTTACGAATATTAATATAATATGCAACAACGTTTAATATTCTTCGAACCCATCATTAATAACATCCCTATATATCTATACATACATATAATCCAATATTACTGTACTCGATTAATTTATAGTGTTTGTGTATATATAATTTCACCTTTATAAATGAATTACATTTATAGTCCTGACCCATTATTTTACTAATATTTTTTTCATTTTTTATATTTGCACGCTTATATTTTATTTTATTATATTTCCACCCCGTGTTCTAATTTAAGTTAATTGTTGTAATCAGGATATTTTATATAAAAAATAGTGAGCTATCCACCTTGATACCTTGTTTACTTTTGAATCCAAATTTAAATTTTATTTTTTTTAATTCTTCGTCTTTGAACTTGAATAGTATAAATTATTAATAATTAATTCTAATATTTTACGCAACAATAAGTAAATAAACAAGTTTTAACACATAATTTTGAATCATCACCACAAGAACGCGAACTTCATAACGGTTCGAACATATATGCATATGAAAATTGCAGGAACAGCATGAAACTGTTAGTTGTGTTATCGATGTTGGATATTATGTGTATTCACTGTTTCATAACATTGAGCACTGTATTTAAAACACCCGACGAAGAAATATATTTATACGTACGTGCATGTATATATACGTGTATGCAGATTTTTATCCTACCCATTTATACACACACACACAGAGGCACAGACGCACACACAGACGCACACACACACACATATATATATGTATGTATAAGGGTATTTAAATGACAGACCCATGTTTTCTTTTTAATTTTTACGAAATTTTTATCAGTATATATAAAAAATAAACTTGCGAAGGCCTGTTTTTCTATTGTTAATATCTTGTTTTTTTTTTGTTTGTTTTTTTGTTTGTTTTTTTTTTTTACGGCTTATCAACCTCTTGAATATCTTGAAAATCTTACCCAATTTGTACATCTTTCCAAATCCAAGTTTCTGGGAAAAAACTTCGAACCTTGACAGATTCGGTTGGAACAAAACTTGTCGGTGGGGCAGCATCAGATGTCTTTAAACCAAACTCTTCATCAACTTCTGAAATGGATTGTCTTCCATTTAGATTAAGTACTGGAATATATGTGAGTAAAATCATGGATTATTATCACTGTGGCAAACTGAGTTAAATTATCAGATTAAGACACAAAAGCAAGTGAAGCTTTATCCCAGTAAGATGGGGGCTATAAAGCATACCGTAGGTAAGCTATTTTATGCAGAGGCGGACTGGTCAGGGTGGGTACCTATAAATATATTACGCAATAAAGAAACAAACACAGATAACTATTTAGTAATAAAAAAGAATAAAACTTTATAAAGTCATCTGCACACTATCAGTTACTCAAGTCCATTGTAAGAAGACGTTTTCAAAGGTAAATTGCTTAACTTTAAGAAATTCGCTGTCTGTGATTAATTTGGAATCCTACATGTTGATGGAAGTCTTAGATGAACTGCATACAGAAGCAATTATTGGCAGATTCGAACAATCACCTAGTGAACACAAACAAATGTTCCTAATATAGTGGACGGTATAAAATTCTCTATTGGGCTTTTGAGCCATCTGTTAATGTGTAAACTGTGCAGTAAACTATTTAAAAATATCAACTAATTATCTAAACTTGAAAAAAAAAGTTCTGTATTTAGATTTGGTATCTGATGCCAGTAATATGTACAGTACACGTGCACTGTAATTATTAAAAAATACACATTTTTTCCCTAAAAGCATTAATTGTAGCCTTTTTCCATATGTATTTTTTGAAAATGTTATTTATTCGTTATTAAAATTTCATATATACATATATATATATATATATATATATATATATATATATATATATATATATATATATATATATATATAACTCTTCGCTATGAATTGAGTACTCTGGCAGCCGGGAATGCTTATATCTTGTATATAATACGTTAAAAATTCCCTTTCTCCGCCTCGCGCGCTGATACTCTAATAAGAGACTCCGGCTGATGTCAAATCGGTCGGGTTTCGATCCCAGTTTGAAGCAATCGTATGTCTAACGCACTGATGAACCGTGATACAGCGAAGCAGTCTGACTGTGGATGACTATATACGCCCCCTCTCGGAGGTTGAGCGCGTTGGAAGAAAGGGAATTTGTCGGCTGCCGCTAATTAGCGCTGAAAAGCTCTTCGCTATGAATTGAGATCTCGTATATAATGTGTTAAAAATTTCCTTTCTCCACTGCGTCTAATAAGAAACTCCGACTGATATCAAATCGGTCTGGTTTCGATCGCGGCTTGAAGCAATCGCATGTCTAGCCACACTGATGAGCTGTGATACAGCAAAACAGTCTGTCGGTGGATGACTATATATATATATTATTAAGAAACAGACAACTTTAAGGGTTCATGATCATAATTTATTTCCTTAGAATCGAAATTCGATTCTAATTCCTCATATCAACATTTTCATGCAAATAAATAGGTGACAAATATTCCAGGCATAAGCTTATGCCTGGAATATTATAATCATGAACTCTTAAAATTGTCTGTTTCTTAATATAATTAATATTTGCTTTGTTTTTACATTGAGCTCTCTGGATTATATCCTTCTTGGAATTATCCATACGGATTACCAAACACATCATTAACTATATATATATATATATATATATATATATATATATATATATATATATGTGTGTGTGTGTGTGTGTGTGTGTGTGTGTGTAAACTTAATAAATCTTTAGTACTTTTTGCGCGAAGCGGGTGTTTCTCCAAATAAAAAAAAAGAATGAAATTGTACGGCTTTTATTTAAAAAAAGAAAAAAAAGCCCTATTTATATTTATTCTGTATTTTCTTGGAGACTTTTCTAAAATTAATTTAATGCAAATCCTTATCCGGTTTTTCATAATGACTCGATTTATTTATTTTTTAGGTCAGTTCTTAGTCTTTTCCGTGTCGATAATATGTGCTTAAAATAGGACAGAGAATTCAGATAAAGTTTGAAGAATATGACAAATGGAAAACCGTTTCATTGAAACTAGATTACGCGTTTTGTTCTTACTAGTCTTCATCAGATCAAAAACAAAAGAAAGAAACATAAGTGTGTATTAGGGTGTATGGTTAAATAACAAATCGTTAAATATATTATTATTTAAGCATACATATAAATACACAGAGAGAGAGAGAGACACACACATACACACGCACACACAAATATATATATAATTATAATTATTTTTTAAAAAATATGATTCCTTCGCTACATAAGAGTTCTCATGTTTCATAAACGAGAGCCAAAACCATCGGTATAATTATTAAAAATTAAATTGAATTAAAGTAACAAGCTCTGTTTCATTCTCAAGCGAAATTTTTCATAAACGTGTTTTTCCCTATTTTTCTACATACCTACCTACACACACACACACACACACACATATATATATATATATATATATATATATATATGGATGTATGGATGAAGGTCATCAATGGCGTCAAAATCGTTCAGGAATATCTAAAATGGCGGCTGCGTACAACTTTGTCAGAAAATTGGTTGAAAATGGCCTTCGAGCGAATGAAGTATATATGTCTTAGTGAGCACCATTTTTCTTTGAACCTCGTGGATTGGCTCTACAGAATCACAGGGAACTGCAGCAAATAACAGAAACCGCATCACTTGGGGATCTTCAACAAGGGCAGCAACTAAAACTGGATAGCGTATATAACTCGAAAAGAAACTAATGACATAATCAAGAGGTTGACTTTCCACATTACTTCATACAAAGGGTTAGGAAGGAAGCCTCCATCAATACTAGAAAGAGCGATAATAGTTAGTGGACATTATTAACCTATTTTCCTGAAAAAGTGTTTTAAGAGAAAGATTTTATAAATTTGTGACGTTGTAACACTAATAGCAATTCATTTTGGAGGAGTTGTCACACAATTTGCTCTAAATTGTACGTCTAGTCTGAAAGAAGAACAAACTCGATCTGACCATCTTTCCCTGACACATTGCTGCTGCTGATGATGATTATGATGCTACTATTGATGATGATACTGCCGTTATACACCCAATGATGCTACAACGAATGACGTTATAAGAAAATATTTATTTATGGCGGCAGTTGAATTAATATTTGTTTTACTGCATCTGAAAAAGTACCACACTTACGAAAAGGAAACGGCTCTCCCCCCATTGGTCGTAACATCGGGAATCGATCTCCTTCATGCACCTCAAAGCTGGTCATGTAGATAAGACCACTTCTCTGAAATTATAAATATATAATTATTTGTTAATGTTCGAAATTCATTAAACACTCAAAACTAAATACACGGGTTAAAAATAAGTATAATTGGTTTGATTTTTACGGATTATCAACCTTCTGCAGGTTATTTAAAGCTATAAGATCTTTTTTAGACTGTGAGAATGTTTTAGAGGAAAAAAAGTGATTGACTGATACAAGCTGGGTGAGAAGAGTTGGATTCATACCTTTCCCAAAATTATCTGCGAAAAAGTGACTATCGATCTCAATTGAAGTTCGAACTAGACTCTGATTTCCAATTCTGAGCTGTTATCAATGACACCATCAACACATATTCAAGCTTACAGCACCTGGTATTCCCAAGAGGCTACCCATCTAGGTACTGACTAGGGTTTACGTTGCTTAAATTCGGTGATCATAAGATAACCTGTGTTTTAACGTAATATGGCTGTACGCAAAATGATACCCATATAAAATACATAATAGATATGATACCCATATAAAATACATAAGAGGCTTACACGAACACTTGAAATCAATTCTAAATTAAATTAAATGTTACTTGCACAATTAATAACAACAAAAATTTGCAATATGAGCTCTGGTAAAAAATATGCAATGATAACATCAAAAATCGCAATATGAGCACTATTAAAAAAAAGGTTGCTTAAGACATTAGGTTTATAATACCCAGAAATTCATACACAGATACACATGGCACAGTGGATAAAGGCGTTACTTCGATCCAGTGACGGGGCCCAAAGAGTGTGAGTTCAATACCCGGTTAAGGCGGTGGAGAACTTTGAGAGGGGAATTAACAGGAGATAGCTGACATCCATTCGACATGACACGTGGAACTAGAACATTCTACCCCAGTGAGCGAAATAAAGGGTTCTGTTCGACATTCCAACCATGCCGAAACGTTGTGATGGCGGCCAATATGAGGACAATAGTCCGAATAATGTAAATATTGCACAATCAAGTGTTCATGATCTAAATCATTTTAATTGCATAAATGTTTTTAAAAATATGAATAAAATTATAGACAGCAAGTAAGAATATTTAAGTAGAAACGATGCTACAAACAACATTCCATCATATAATGAAGCGAGATAAGAAAAATATTGAGACAGTCTATGATGTAACGTTGGGGCTTGAAGAACTGAAGCCAGAGACAACACCGAACATAACGTAATACCACGATCTTAGCAAGCGCTTGGAATACGTAGCCGTTCAGAATCTGGTCTACGGCTGTAGGAATGTTAATTTGACCAATGTTGTCAAAATCGAAGCACCATTGACACATTGCATCCGAAATGTGCAGCAATTCTCCCAAATGATCAACTTGACTCATAAATCTCACAAATCCAATCCAACTCAAATGGCTCGCACTGAACAAAACGAACCCGTATGAATATTCTGGTAATAAAACCTGCTGGGATTACTTCGAAGGGGATTAAATGCCGAATAGGTAGATGTTTTAGTTTTCTTTCTATGGCACCAGTCGCGATGCTTTTTGATCATACCTCATATATGGCATAGTATAAAACGGAACTAGTCCTGGGTATGACGATAAACTATATCCGGCAGCAAGGCAACTTGATCCGGGGTGAGGGCAACTGTTAGGATCCGGTCATGGGCAAATAATGACCTCCCCCACCCCCCAAAAATTCAAAACGCTAGGAAAGTATGAAAATAGATTCATATAGTAAAATAACCACTATACATTTTTGTACTGAATTTATAAATTTTTAAAAATAAACACATTATTACCAACAATTCATTTTTATAGTAAAATTACCAATAATACATTTAATAGCAAAATGACTTACAATACTTTTTACAATAAAATGACCAACAATAGAGTTTTATAACAAAACGGCAATCAATATAAAAACTGAAAAAAGTATAAAAAACATTTTCATAAAAAAAATTACCAACAATACATTTTTGTAGTGAAATTGCCAGCAATATATTAAAATAATTTACCAATAATACTTATATCTACAAATTATATATTTAAAAAAAAAAGAACATAAATTTATACTTTCAATATGCACAACATATCAGTAGTTGAATCCATAAATTACGTAGAAGATATTTGGATTTCGTCATTAGAAATTGATAGCCGCTAAACAAGATCAACGAAACCAAATAAAACGAGATCCCAAATCTTGGACAATTAAGAAAATGTCACTAATAAACTAGATTATCTTGCCTATAGCATTCAATAACATGAATTTAGAATTTTTCTTACCGATAAGATATTTCCAGCTGATACCGACCATGAATAAAATTGGAAGGGTTTGTTGTATTTATCGATCGAATCCACAACCTACAAGGAAAAAATATAATTTAGTTTGGAAATTACTCACACACACACATGTATATATTGCGTATATTGCGCATGTTTTCATTGAGACATGTTTCATTCAATAATTTAGACAAGTTTTGTCTACTTATTTTCAATTGGATCTTTTCATATTCACGAGCCAGCTGTTTGGTGCCATTATTAAAGGAAGAGAGAAAAGCGCCGTGTTGATATATATTATTATTATTTCATTCCGAGTACTTTCGACATAACACAATGTCAGTATCAGGGTGTTGTTTATTTCAAGACAAATATTGTAGTGTTTAACATTTTCAAAGACAAAATTGCTGTATTCATCTGAAAGTGAAATTTTTTACTTGTGAAGTAAAGAACTCTGAGTGAGTACAGTGAGTGGCTTGACTGACGCTTCAGGGGAGGTAACTAAGTATGGCGTGTAGAGATTTTTTTAAGAAATAAATATTAAAACTATTAATGGCAAAAGTAACAACACACCTGCAAAATCAAAATTACAGAGAACCAATATTATATACGGGTACAAATGCCCTGTAAGTAACGGTGTTCTTGATCAAACCAAATTTATAAATAATAATATTAGTTATACTACTTCATACCTATCTCGACGACTCACGTTACACCTAACCGGCCATAGTTCAATTAAGACTCATTTTAACAGAAAGGAAAACTTACCAAACTCCATAAAGGACTATTTTTATTTTTCATCTTTAATTCTTAACTAAATGTGGAGGTTTTTTATGTATGTGTCTGAAGTTAAAGGAATGTTTTATTTTCCAAACACGGTCATTATATTATGGATATATTCGTAGTTAATATTATTGAGTTTTGACTTTTCCTTTTTTATTATAAGGGCTTCCATTATTTTTAACATTCTTTTGTGTGTGTGGGGGATGAGCCTATTATACTTGTATTATATACTAACGTCGTGTATTGATCTATGTTTCCACTTTATATTTACATACGCTCTATTCCTGATAATGATCAGTTTAATCCAGTGATTCTCAACGGCCGTACGCCGGTACACTGGTGTGCTGAGCGTTCGTCTTAGGTGTGCCGCGAAATATTGTCACAGCAGTTGTAGAGAAGTAATAATGGTACAGAGTTAATATATGGATAAATGAATAAGTATTAATCTTTTTATCCCACATTAGCTAAAATGGTTTTCTACTTCCTATTTATGTGAATTAAGCTTCTCAACCTTAAACAACATTAAAAAGTAAAAAACGAGAAAGACTACGGTCAACTGAAGAAGAAATGGGGGTCTGCTTATCGCACATTCGGCCAAACATGGAAGAAATGACAAAAACACACCAGGCACAAGTATGACAGTAAATAAGCTGCGAAAATAGTTGAATAGAAACATTAAAATAAAGTTTATGTTTATGTATTTTTTTTTAAATCTATGGTTTTATTTCCTAACATTTAAATGCATACCTTTTAAGAATTCTTATTTAGTGTGATATTTTCATTTGCTGCTAAATGTGCCATTGCTTAAAAAGGTTGGGAATCAGGATTTTAAACCCATAAATAAAGCATAATTTAAAAGTAAATTTTTATTATATATATATATATATATATATATATAATTAAGAAAAAAAAAAAATCTACATAAACAAACTTTATACACTTCTTTTTTTTTTTTGATGATGTTGAATGACATTCAACATCATCATTTATAAGACGCCTTCATCTGTTTTTAAACCTTTCTTTTTTGTAGTGATTTTATAACATATTTATGTAATAATTTTTTTTTTTTTTAAGTAATTATATCTGGTCTACTTTGTATTGAGAACTCTTTTAAGAATATTAATTGTTGGTTATATAATATATATATATATATATAGTTATATACTTATATATATATATATATATATAAAAATATATATATATATACACACACACGTGCGTGTGTGTGTGTGTGTGTTGTGTGTGTCCAACATCAGAGATAGAGAGTGTGAGAGAGCTGAAATTCAAAAATTTCTGGAGATGATTTTAAACTTACGAGGTCATAGGTTTTTTTTTTAAGTAATTCCAAGAGGAGAACACTCTTTGAGAACTCCCCGACAAATAATTGGAACCACTTCGTGCGGTCATTTTGAGAGTCACTTCCTCTCCAGGAACTTGCTCAGGGACATTATAATTTACAGATACCTAAAAAATACAAGGAGAAATTGAAATCATGTCGGACATATTTATGTTGATATGAAACAAAATATGGATTATGGGTTTTGTTAACATTTATTTTGTTTAACGTCGGTTGACACGTGAAATATTTATAATACCAATTTTATTAGCACCAATTTGTTATAAAATACAATTAGATACTTTGCAAAATGCGCTACTAAAAGAATGTGGTGCAATTTACTACAGTATACTTTTTTAAGTGATTTACTATAGAAATGAAGTGCAAGTGATTTACTATAGATATACTTTGTAATGATTTAACATAGAAATACAGTACAAGTGATTTACTATAGTAATACTTTGTAATGATTTACTATAGAAATACTTTAGCAATTATTTACTATAGGAATACATTACATACTTTTGCAAAATTTACTATAGAAATAATTTTGTAATGATTTACTATAGAAATACTTTTTATGATTTACTATAGGAATACATTACAAGTGATTTACTATAGAAATACTTTGTAATGATTTACTATAGAAATACAGTAATTATTTACTATAGGAATACATTACAAGTGATTTACTATAGAAATACTTTGTAATGATTTACTATAGAAATACTTTGTAATTATTTACTATAGGAATACATTACAAGTGATTTACTATAGAAATACTTTGTAATGATTTACTATAGAAATCAGTGCAAGTGATGTACTATAGAAATACATTGCAAGTGATTTACTATAGAAATAGTTTGCAATGATTTACTATAGAATTACAGTATAAGGAATTTACTATAAAAATACTTTGTATTGGTTTACTAGAAAATGCAATGCAACTCTAATTACTACAGATTACTTTGTAAGTTGTTTACTCTAGAAATACACGTCAAGCTGATTTACTACAGAAATACTTTGTTAGAGAGTTGCTATATAAATGTAGTGCAATTGATTAAATAGATAACTACTTTGTGAGTGATTTACTAACGGCATGCAGTCCAAGTTTATTTATTACAGAAATTTTGTGAGGGATTAACTATAGAAATGCAGAAAAGCAAGTGATTTACTACAGTAATACTTTGTAAATGGTTTACTATAGAGTTACTGTGCAAATGATTTATTATAGATATTTCTTTGCAAATTATTTACTATAGAACTGCTTTTCGAGTTATTATATAAATGCTTTGCCAGTGATTTATTGTAGGAATTCTTTACAAATGATTTACTACAGTTATAATTTGCAAGTGATTTACTTTAGAAATAATTTATAAATGATTTATTACAGATTTAGCTATGTACTATAGAAATATATTGCAATATACGATAGTAATATTTGCAAGTGATTTATTATAGTATATTTCAAATGATTTGCTATAGAAAATTTGCAAGCGATTTACTGTAAAATAGTTTTTAAGTGGTTTACTGTAGTAAAAGTTTTCAAGTGGTTTATTATAGAAATAATTTGTAAGTGATTTACAGTACAAATACTTTATAATTGAATTACTATAGAAAGATTTTCAAGGATGGAAATTGATGACAAATGATTTACTATAGAAAGGCATTGCAAATATTTCTTATAGTAATAGTAATGAAAACTTTAACTGACAAATATACTGCAGAAATGATCCAATATAATTATGCATTTTAAACAACCTTGAACTGTTTTCCTTCTTTTTTTTTTTTTTTTTTTTTACTTAAAGGCTGACTTTGATATATTACATACTAGCCTAGAAGCCGCCCTTCGGACGGACTTCAGGCTAAATCCTGCGAAGAGCTTTCGGGTTTTTTACCTTCAGTGTTCAATGTACGTAAAAGTTATAAGAATTTAGAAGTAATAAAATTATTTTATCTTTATTCAAAACCTTAATTCGGCATAATCTTTCTTCGTATACGCAACAGATCTCTGTAGTTTGTTTACATTTATTTTCGCGCAATTTTTTTAAGTCACCATTCTTTATGATGCCTTCACATAAAGTCACTCTTAAAAAACTTCAGGGAACCCGAATTATGTAATATTTTGAATACGTCACAGTACGCATGCTAGAAAAAAAAAAGGCAATTGAGCAACTGACCGTGCCCCGCTATAGTTTTAATTACGGTTTAATTAGACGATATAAGTTGTAGTTGTGACCAAGTGCGAAATTAAAGTTAAACCTTTAATAAAGAATTTTTTAAAAACCTTTCACTCTGTTTGATATTTAAATTTAACTTTTAAATGAATTATTTATTTAATTTTTAATCACGTGTACATACAGTAGTTACTACATGTTACTTCAGGTTGTTTATGATACGCCGAGATTTAAAAAACGGACAGACACACGTACACTCTTTATATAGATGTTTCTATGGAAACACAAAGTGACATTTTATAAAATAATTTCCTGAAAATATTTCACAAATTAATTACTCATTGTTAATTGTCAGAAATATACTTACAGAATGTTTAAAGATTCCTTGAACGTTAAATTCCACGCTGTCAATGAGGAGTTCTTTTTGAGGAGTTACAAAACTGACAATAATATTGGCTTTTGGACACATTGTAGAGTTGGCTTTTAAGGCAAGAGTTACATTTTGTTGGTTCATCGCATCTACTTCGAAACTGGAGAGTAGAATTCCTTTTGAAGTGATCTAAAAAGATAAAAATGAACAAATAGGGCTTAGATTGATTGACAGAAATCGACAAACAGGGCTTAGCTTATTTGACAGAAATCGACAGACACGGACTAGATTGATTGACAGAAATAAACAGACTGAGCTTAGATCAATGGACGGAAATCAAAAGACATGTATACACATACTGAAGAAGACGGATGGGCTAACATAGACTGATTGACAGAAATCGACAGAATGCACTTAGATTAAATGACAAAAATCGACAGAGAGGGCTTAGATTAATTGACAAAAATCGACAGAACGGGTTTACATTAATTGACAGAAATCGACAGAACAGCATTAGATTAATTGACAAAAAACGACAGACCTGGTTTAGATTAATTGACAAAAATCGATAGACTGGGTTTAGATTAATTGATAGGAATCGACAGACTGAGATTAGATTGATTGCCAGAAATCGACAGACCGGATTTAGATTAATTGACGGGAATCGACCAGGAATTGACAAACGATCATACATATATTGAAATGGATGGATATATTGACATAGTTTGATTGACATATATGAGCAGACTCATAGATACATGTTGGTAACATTGTGGAATATAGAGACTCAGCCTTACCACGCTAGGTTCACAGATTAATTTGTATTGCTGCTGTGGTTTACGTAGTAATTTTTATAAAGAGGAGTTGCTTGTTCTGCACTCAAATAGTTTTGGATTAAAAGTTGTTCTAGAATCGTTGTCAACCAAAGCTAGATAGACCAGACCCCACCCGCCTATTATTAACTCACATCAGGCGAGGCAGGAAAAGAGATGGGTTCATGTTTTACCAGGGTATTTATGAAAAATCGAATGTAATGGAAGAAAATGGAATTTGAACTCGACTCGCCAGTCTGTAACCACTACACGACGATTACATTCATAGATAGATAGATAGATAGATAGATAGATAGATAACATCTTATTTCCATTCAAACACGTCATATATGTTAATATATGGCGTTTTTTAATTACACATCAGTGCATAATATATACAGTGAAAAAGTTCAGATGCTTAGTGATTTGGATACTGTAAAAACAATATTTTACAGTATAAATAAAGATATAAATAAAGGGTGTTCCAATAACTTGAACCGATTTTAAATGTGAATTAAGTTTAAACGTCTAATTATTTCTTTCTTTTTCTTTCAGATTTCACAACTTAAGTCTTTGGCAATTTCAACCATTGAAATATTAAAATCAAACAATTTGTTAAATTTTCATTGGAAAAATTGCACGTAAATACAAACAAACTTTGTCGGTGACAGATGTGAAGACACCATTGCATGCTCGTTTACGCCGTTCAGCTGAAAACATTGCTGCAGTGCACCTCTATTTGTCATCGCGCACAGGAATTGAACCTCTCCACAACAAAGTTACACTGTTTCCAATTGCATTCTCCCCTGGTCGATTATATTGACTAAAAAAAATCGCGAAGTGAGCGATATGCATTTCTGTTTGAATGTCTATTTTCGTAATAGGCTTCGCTAACTTTAACCCGTTGTTTGATTGTTATTCTTTCCATGGATGAAAATGTCAATGACTTAAGTTGCTAAATCTAAAAGAAAGAGAAAAAAAAATCATTAGACGCTTTAACTTAATTCACATTTAAATTCGGTCCAAGTTAGAATACTCTTTACAAAAATATAAAATAAAGAAAATATGAAAATTTGCATACACTTATGAAAACTTCTGTTGTGCTATTGCAGATCACTTAATAAATAATCCGATCTGTGCTTCGTTTTTCACCAGGGATTCATTTTACCATAATCAGCAAAGAGCATTCACATCGTTATCTGAGAATTCTTTTATATTAAGTCTAAGCAGACTTCCCTCTGTAAATAGAAGGACTGGCTGCTGAATGTAAATGCAGTCTGTATGTAATTTATACTGCTGATTTGCTGACAGTAATTCTTTCTTCCCTTTTTAGCTTTTGTGCTCATTTTTTGTCCTCGTTTGACTCTGAAGTGCGAGGAGCGATAGTCGGTTAACATATTTTTTTTTGTTATATTTTTTCGGTTCACCAATTTATGGTAGGTAATTTAATTTCTTATCTATGCTCTTCATTCCCATTGGTTTATTTTTCGTATATATTAATATATATAAATAAACATTCATATGCACTTTTAAAATGTGCGTTTTTGAAGTTTTAATAAAGTGCTCTACCCCCTACGCACAAAGAGAGATTATTTGAGTTAGAAATAAAACAACAACAAAAAACAGAAAGTTAGGAAGATAGAGAACGCAGACTAAATTAAAATGTCATTAAAATACCGTTGCTTATTTATGGCATTTTCAGAAAAATTGACATAGATAGATAGATAGATAGATAGATAGATAGATAGATAGATAGATAGATAGATATGAAAAGACTGAGATAGATAGATAGATAGATAGATAGATAGATAGATAGATATGAAAAGAATGAGATAGATAGATAGATAGATATGAAAAGAATGAGATAGATAGATAGATAGATAGATATGAACAGACTGAGATAGATATGAAAAGAATGAGATAGATAGATAGATAGATAGATAGATAGATAGATAGATAGATAGATATGAACAGACTGAGATAGATAGATAGATAGATAGATAGATAGATAGATAGATAGATAGATAGATATGAAAAGAATGGGATAGATAGATAGATAGATAGATAGATATGATAGATAGATAGATAGATATGAAAAGAATGATGGATGGATAGATAGATAGATAGATAGATAGATAGATAGATAGATAGATGGGATAGATAGATAGATATGAAAAGAATGGGATAGATAGATAGATAGATAGATAGATAGATAGATAGATAGATAGATAGATAGATAGACAAAGGAGCGGAAAAATAGAGAGAAGAAAGACAAAAATGAATAAAAAGGGAAGACAGACGAAATGGAAAGAAACTATGAGAATCCAGAGGAAGAAATACAAAGCAGGGTAAAGGAGAGTGGAGAAAGCAAAACAAAGAAGAAAAACGTGAAGACAAAGAAAATACAAACAAAGCAATACAAGCGAGAAAAAAAACCCCAGAAAAAATGACAAAAGGAAGATAAATATAAAACCTGATAAAGAAAATACAGACGAAAAATGAAAGACTATCGAACATAAGAAAGACAGCTAGAAAGAGAAACAGAAAAACGACAGTGATAAACCGAAAGACGACAGTAACAAAGAAATAGGTGAATGATAAAAGGGAGAGTAACAGAAGGGAGAGTAACAGAAGGAAGCGAAACAGATGAAATCGAAAATAAGAAAGCCAAAAAGAAGACGAACAAACAACAGATAGGCAGCGAAAAGAGACAGAACGAAAAAGAAAAAAGAGAAAGAGAAGGAATAAAAAAAGGAGAAGGAATGAATAAAAGAAAGTATACGAGACAAACATTTTTCTGCTCAAACTTTAATATATTTTAAGATGTTTCTTAAATTGCTTTCCGTTCTCCCTCTCTCTCTCTCTACGCACACACACACACACACACACACACACATATATGTATATATGTGCGTGTGTGTGTGTGAATTGAAGTTTCAGTTTTGAAACATGGGAATTTCGGTGTTGCGAGGATAATATATTAAAAAAACAGTTATAATATTATGCTCTACTGTTGTATCGAGCGCTGTTTTTTAAAAATAAAAATAAATGCTAAGAACTCCGAATTATAAATCTTATTGTTCCTTCCTATTAATTTAATATATATCTATATATATATATGTTTTGTGTGTGTGTGTTTGTGTGTGTGTATGTGTGTGTGTGTGTGTTTTCGTGGATGTTGTTGATCTTGTTGCTCTATCAATTATTGTTGTCAAATCAATTATGACCATTTTAATCTAAATCATCTTTGAAATAGTTCCGTTGTAATTGCAATAATAGAACCTGAATGTCATAATTGCAGTATAGTCGAAAACATAAGACTAATAGCTGATATTTTCATTGAAACAGATTGACAGAACGAAATTAAAAACATACGTAGATGTGTAATTTCAAGTGAACTGATACTTACTGTGTATATGAATCTATTCATTGGCAGCGTAGATTCGACTCTGAATTTCATCATGTCTCCCGCCTGGAATCGAAAATGAAATCATACAGTCATAATAGTATTTTTACCCAAGACTCTCTTTAGTTAGAAATAAACAATAAATTTAATTAACGATTTCAAAGCACAGAATTATCGAGGCTGTGATTTCGGATATTCATTTTCTTTTCAGTAAAAAGGTTTTAAAACCATTTATTTTACATTCAACATCATCACTTGATAAGACTTGATATATATATATATATATGGAAGCGTCATATCAACCCCGCTAACCGAACGCTCCTCTGTGGCCGAAACGGTTAAGGCACGTCAGGCTATTTGACGGTTCCGTATAGGATACAGGTTCGATTCCTGTCGGAGGACGAAAATTTTCTATGAAAATTTCTCGGACATTCAGGCCGGTAAATGTTGTTTAATACGGTTTATTATAAAAACAGAGTATTTGTATCTATAAAAAGAGTGTATAAACATAAAAATGCCTTAAAAATATATACAGATATATATATGTACACGTTTTTTCCATTATAGATATTCCTTTCAAAATGTTTCATTTTTAAATTAGGCACAATTAGAGAACTTCTGTGTCGTGTCACTTCAAAATGTAAGCGATCATGGCTCTCCAGGACTTCCTATTCTTTGTAGCCTTTAGTAAAGTTTGTGTTTTTGCTATGCTCCTATTCCGTGTTCCCTGTTAACAATATATTAAAATAAAAGATCATTTATTTTGCCTGTAGCAGTTAACAACCGCAGCACACGATATTTAAAGAAACCTAGTGTGAAAATATGCATGTAAAGGATGTTCCAAAAGTTGCATTACCATTGATAACATTGTAAATGCTATATATTTTTGCCAAATGGAATCATGTTTCTGTATGTGACAATATATTATTAAGAAATGTTATTGGTCGAATTATGGAAGATGATGTCATGCAAAATTTCCCTGATTGTTATTTCATAACAGCATGTTTTCTTCTAATTTCTGCGTGACATTTTGGAAGACGCTGCTTATTGATTTTTGAAAAAAAAAAAAAAAAAAACATTTCCTGACGTTTACATTATTCTTATCTCTCAAATTCAGTAATTATTTCAATATTTTGTAAATTTAGAAAATTTACTCAATATAACAAAAAAATCACAAAACAACTATGGCTACCTGCTTCTATTAATGGTAACTGACGTGCAATTTCGTTTCCTGTTTTTTTTTTTTTTTTGTTATGCATAAATATTCATTTTTTTTTAAAGGAAATTATGGCTGGTGTCCCATAAAATTTCAAAATTTGATATAATAAGCATGTTTGATCAAAAATAAATCCATTAATTCCTTAGAAAACCTGTAAGGGTATCAATGAATTTTTAGCCTAATGATTAAAGAAATACATTTATTTTACCCAACAGATATTTATTTTTCGGGATAATTATTTCAATAAACACAAAACTTCTGACATAAATCGGATATTTAGACCAAGATTTAGACTAGGATTCGTAAATCAAGACAAAATCTACACACGTAAGTCCAGATGAAATTCACGCTCTTAAGTTTGTACAAAATCCACAGTCATAAGTCGGGACAAATCTACACTCGGATGTCTGGACAAAATCCATACTTGTAAGTCTAGACAATGCGCACACTCGAAGTCGAGATAAAATTCACACTCGTATGTCGAGACAAAATCCACAGTCGTAAGTCGACATAAAATTCACGCACGCAAGTCAAAACAAAATCCACACTCGGAAGTCTCGACAAAATACTAAAGCAACCTTATACTTTTTAAACAAACAAAACTATGTACTTACTGTAGCGTTATTAGTTAAAAGTGTAACTTGTATGTTATCTCCATACTGTGTTTGGTAAGGCTGAAGGTATCTATTATTAGGGAGTTTATATTTGATACCATTTTCTGTTGCATAGTAAGTAACCTGTAAAAAATTAAAACAAATGTTATCAATAAATGAAATGAAATTTAAAGAAAAGTTTTACAGTTATATAGCTGTCGATAAAGCAATATTATTTTATTCCTAATCAAATTATCTAATTTCCTATTAAAATGGTACTTTTAAAAATGTAAAAACATCCTGGAAAAAGGTGATGCTTTTGTTTACATTGTTTTTTGGGGGCAGCTTCTCCATTTGAGTTGTTTTTTGATCACATGTCAGTCAATGTACATTCCGGTTTGAATATCTAAGACGAGGTATTAGACGCTGATATAATCTTTGCTGAATCATTCAGCTTCCGATCTTTACAGATTCATTCAGTTTTGGCATCTTTGCTGATACGTTTAGCCTTCCCATCTTGGCTGATTCATTTAGCTTCCTCATCTTTACTAATTTAGTCATCTTTACCGATTCATTTAGCTGAGTTATTTAGTTTTCAATATTTGTTGATTCATTTAATTTACCATCTTTGCCGATTCATTTAATTTTCCCATCATTGCGGATTCATTCAGTTTTTCCAACTTAGTTTATTCATTTAGTTTTCCATTATTATTGACTGATTCAGTTTTGCCATTTTTGCTTATTCATTTAGATACCCAGCTTTTCAGATTCATTTTGCTGTCCCATCTTTGCTGAGCCATTTAGATTTTCCTTTTTGCTGATTCATTCAATTTTCCCATCTTTGCAGATTCGTTTATCTTTTCTATCTTTGCTGAGCCATTTAGATTTTCCTTTTTGCTGATTCATTTTGCTTTCTCATCTTTTCTGATTCATTCAGTTTTGCCAGCTTTGTTATTTTTATTACAATATTACAAACGCTGTATACTTCGCCCTTCCTCAAATCATACTTATTATAAAACCCAGGTTGTGTGTTTGTGTGT